ATGGTTGGTTACCCAACCCCACGCAATCAGCTTCCTCTTATCCGTCAGTGCAGCGACGTGGATAATATTGGACAACTCAAGTTTGTTTCTTGTTTGCGGGGGGGGTTGGATGCCCACTGTTATCCACTGTTTACCCAAAACGAGACAAATATTTTGACACCATGCTTTAAAACAGTCAAACACACGGATTTTGAGTGAGGGTACCTGAGCAGGGGAGCTAGAATTTCAGAACCGCGACGGATACCATGTGTGATGTGTTGCAGGCAAACAATTCTCCTCCAAGCCACCATCCGCCATTCTTACCCAATCACCTATCAAGCCACATTGATTTGTCCAGCACAAGTCTTTCAGAATAGTCCCCCAATTCTTCGAGAATCTGAAGGCACACATCGAGGTGCGTTTGTAGGTTGGCTTGGAGTTCAAACCTGGTTGCCACTCCGATTAAAAACATTCTGTTTAAATAATATCCTGTTGGTTTCCGTTTCAGGGGGGCCCGGGTCTAGATGTTTCAACACATGTCACCCAACCCTCTCCCCCTCCAACTGGACAAGCATTCGACCTGTCCCCCGAGTTCCAAGTCGTGAGAAATTGCCGGTGACCCAGCCTTCGATGTCTCGTTTATCGAAACCATGATGAATGCAATGCGGAAGATGTGCTATGGAAATGGGAAACTACCAAATCTCAGCTGCTCGTAAATGGGTGGTTTGAATTGGCGGCTTGCAGGTTGGGGGTGCTTTCCCTTTACCCCCAACAAGAACCAGGGGTTCAAATCCCAAATCACCAATCCAAAATACCACAAACGTTCTAAACCAACACGAATCCATGGAGAAGCAGGCCAAATTTGGACCAGAGCTCTTGTGGAACATCCGGAAAATCTGCGTCTTGCCAGGAACGTTCAAGACGCGTTGTCAAGCTCGTCTGAAGGCGTCTTCCGCAACGCTAGTCTCTCAGCCAGCTCTGCTCTGACTTTTGCTTCAGCATTGGGTTCGCGTGGTGCGTTGGCTATTGCATTGCTCCGAAAACTTAGACCAAAGATGCCCAGCAGCATCTCTCCCATCAAGCTCGGGGCCTGGTGAAGGGCAAACACGCTTGGCTTGCGTGGAAAACTTTGAGGATCCTCGGGATTCGCCAAAGCATGCGCATGCTTCGCATGCGTCACATGCTTCACAACATGCACTGTTCTTTTGAAAGAAAAGCAAGGGGGCCAATGGCATAACTCCCGTTTACGGGACGAGGCGCCGCATTCGCTTTTTGGGAACCTAAGGAACTGGTCCAGCCTCTTGGCTCCCCGACATCCATCTTCACACGGCTGTGTCTCTCGAAGGCATCCCGGTACTGCTGCTTGGTCTCCTAAAAGCAAACCCCCAATGCGGCGACCAGCCAACCCATGCGATTAATTAACTCACCAAGCCAAGCCAAGCAACCAATGTAGGCAAGCGACCCGAGCAAGCAACCAAGAACCAGCTAAGAGAAAACATAAAGCAAAACAAAGCAAGCGACCAAGCAAACAAAGAAATCAAGCAACCAGCCAAACAACCAACCGAGCAACCGACGAACCGAGCTGGCAAGCAAGCCAGAACACAAAGCGCCCAACGGAGTGTTAGCGTGTCAGCTAGGCGCATTGGGGGGCTGTGGTGGGATCTGAGTCCTGCCTGAGATTCACAGCCCCTCTGTATCAACCATCTGACGTTGCCAGATCTTTATCACCTGCAAGCAGTTCCCATCAGATAAAGAGACGTGCCTTGAGTGCAAGTCGACTTTGGCTGGCTGGAACTCGTGCCAGCATGCCTGCAAATCTGCCCAGCATTTGCCTACCAGTATACCCCTATCGATTGCCGCCGAAACAAAAATATGCAGAAACAAACCTCTTGCCTGGGCGTGGGCCTTGGGATTGGAAAACATCCCTCCCAAACTTCCCAGATAAGTTGTGATTTTGGTGAGGGCACTGTGCCACCAACCTACTTGGGGCTAACCAACAGCCCGCCCGACGAGAAGCTGGACCCGACGTCACACCCTAGGCCCCTGTGCTACGTTTTATTGGTCAGGGATCCGCAGTACGGCACCCTCTGACAGGAACCCTGCCTTAAGAGCCTTGATCAAGGCGTACTCCTCCTCGTCGATCATATCCTGCCAGATTCACGGGCGAATAAGAAGGCCCTGCTTCAAAATGCGTGGTGAACAAATCACGACTAACCAAGGTCCCATGAGATGTTCAACCCCTCATAAAGACTTGTCTAAGTGCATCGGCTCGTCTGGTGTCAACCGCGTGGTGGCTCGGACTCAATCAACTGAGTAGTACATCGCACGCAGCTGGCCAAGCAAACACAGGCATAGGCATATGTTGGTATGACTGGCTTGCACGGTGTCTTGCTCCCATCGAAGTCAAAGACACGTAATTACAACATGTACGTCAAGGGCAGCTTGCATGCACCATGCTTTTTCTCTGTCCCATGGGACGAACGGGCGAATCCATTATCTTTGGTCGACCAATGCTAGCGCCAGGAAGCACAAACGCTGACAAACCAATGAGCAAGAAATCAGCGCGAGGAATACAGTGCAGCCATTCAGGCGACCGTTCGAAACCATCCGTCAATGAGCTGCGTCAAAATAGGAATCGAGACACTTGTGCAAGGAAGCTAGCGTTATCGATCTAGATGCACCAAGACTGCTACACTTTAGGTCATGCTTGCGCTTCCAACATGCTTGCATGCCCTGAGGATCCGCGAGCTTTTTGCGCGGGGCATGCACATTTGATTTCATCTGCGCCTTTCCAAGCAGAGTTTTGGCTTGCGAATTGGGTTGGCCGCTCTCCGCCACAACCTTTCCTGGAACTTCCAAAACGGGCCGACCAAGGGTATTTCGGGGGTTCCGTGAAGCTTCATGTTTCAGAGTTCGGCAGCTGTGCGAGAAGCGGCAAACGGAGTTGACGAAACACAAGTGACCTCTTGGCTGAAACATGAGTCAAAGCCCCTTGGCACCCGAAAGCTGCTAAGAGCACCGAACCTTCTCCCTGACCTTTACTAAAGCTTTCGGCAGTCGAACAAAACTAATCTCAGGTGGCATCCCCAGCAACACCCGGAACGAGCCACTCGGAAGCCTGGGCAAGGACCCCGCAGGATTTCAGCTGGGGAATGATCCTTTGGGTGGTTTAGGATTTCCGTGGGGAAAAGGGGCACCCTTTTGTGTTGGTTGCTTTGAAAAGGGTACGTATATGACATGGCCATGGACAGCTTGGAAAGGCGCAAGACTTTGCTCACAGCCAGGATCCGTGGACTCCGCGCAAGCCGCGAGTGAAGCAGGTCAACTTCATTCTCTCGATCAAAACTAATCAGACACCTCAAATATGTCTATGGTTCCCTTTGAGAGTTTTCCAAACGGGTCCGTCCCTAGTTTTGATTTGCTGACAAATCATGGCCATCATGTTGGCCACCTGCTCCTTAGGTTGGTACAAGCAGCGGCCAGATATAGGGTGCGCAGTCATCGCCAATTTGCAATTGGATCTTTTAATCACAGTCCTCCCTCTCACACCCAGCGCCTGCCAACCAAGTGCTTTGACCATGGGCGTATTCCCTAAAATCAAGATGCGCGGATGCGTCCTACCTCGACATTTCCTGAACCGGCACCACAGAACCCAAAGAGTTGCGATTCTTTCGGCGGATCAAAGGTGACCAAAGAGGCGGACAAGGCATGATGTTCTCTCCGGCGCGCCAGCGCCTCTCCCATGTGCTTTAATGGACTCCACGGATCCCGGAGGAGCTTGTGACAATCGCGAGAACTAGGCGTTGCCGCAGTGGCAGCAGCAACTAAGTGTGAGGGAAAACAAACAAGTCGTCTCTGCGGACTTGCTGGGGCCTCAACAGACATGGATGAGAACCAAAAGACATCCGAATTTGAGAAACATCATGAAACATCTTTGCACTATCGACAGTGTGACCCTCCAAAGAAATCGAGGCGAATGGCTGAGACTTGGATTCCCCAGAATCGAAGCTTCGACGATTGAAACCTGACAAATTCACACTGAGGGGGCAGCAAGGTCTTCCCAAGGTCGACAAACATAATCCAACAGGAACAGCAACCTAAGGAGTTCCGCGCCAAATCCATGCAAGCCACCGCAGCGTTCAGCTTAGGCCAAGGGTTGGCCTGTGGTTGTGTCAAACTAGGGACACTTCTAACGGCGTGAAGAACAAAATATGGCTGTGCCGAAATGAGACATCGCTTGTAAATGGGTTTAGGGACACTAGAAGGGAAACCGAATGAATCATTTTCGGAGTCCCCTCTACGCCATACACCTCTCGTAAGGCTTCGGTCCTAGTTTGGACACGTACCAGCCGAAAAACTGGCGCCACGAGTCTCGAAATCTTTGGCTCAGTGTGGTTGCGGCCGCGAGGACAGGCACTTGCACCCACTGTTCAGATCTTCCAGGAGGTCGTCGTTCATCTCCTGGCTCTTATCAATATCTTGCCCAGTTGGGAAGTCTGACACCAATTGCTGGATTCTCGAGAAAACTCAAGTCGGATTCGGGGAAAGTTGTCATTGCGGTACACTCCAGAATATGGAGCCCAGGAAACCCCTGGTTAGAGGCGTCTCCTTTGAGGGGATCCCACTTTTGGACATCATTCTTGACTTGCAGGAGAGTAAAAAGGGGCAAACGCAGCAACTGGAACATCTTCGGCGGCGCTGTCTGCCAACCAGAAGTTGTCAATGGGGTCCTACCATCTTGAATTTAGGGGTAGGACGGGGAAAACAACACTTCACGAGATATGATCGGCACACGACACACATTTATCTCTTGCATTGACTTGATGATGTCGTTTCTGTTCCTCGAGTTCGACAGGCTGTTTGGCTACCTTTGGGATACTTGCTTTCCATGGCGATTGGAAACACTTCCATGCCTGGAGCCATCTCTATCCCAAGCACAAGTATGAGCAAAATGGTGCATGTCTGTCCGGGTGACATGGCTTGTGAACCCAAAGTCACTTCATTCAATGTGCGACGGCGCGTCAAACAGCCGCGCAGCGTTGGCACTCCTGGATCCGGCGCAGCTCCCGTCGCTTCTCCTCCACCTCGGAGAATGTTGGAACTGAATTAATGGGGCTGATTCGTTGACTCCCTCACCCTCAAACTATCTTTCCCGGCTGTGTTTGGTGAAAAAGATGTCTGAGACTGGGCAAGATTGGATGCGATAGCGGCGACCCAATTGCAAGCCACCGCTGCATTTGACAAGAAGCGCTTTTGAGAAGGGGCCAGAGGTCTTACCAACTGCTGTTGTTGCTGACTTGCAAAAGAACGAGAGACAAAAGCTCGGAAACAGAAATCAAAGCGCGGGGACCGACGGAACGAGCTTCTGTTGGAACCCATGGCAACGAGGCGCGCTTCTAGGGAACCTCTAGGTAACATCTGCAGGGGGGCCATCCTACTTACACAACTCAGTGTAGGGAAATCTAGGCTGGGCAAAACCAGCAACAACCACCGATATGTGCCATGGATAGAAATTGTTGTTTCGTTGAAAGGCATGTGACAATTGCATCCCCCATGTCTTCATAAAGCTTCCATATTCTCAGCATGGAGAACATGTTTGCACCTTGCATGATTCAACGGTTCCATGTTTCGTCCCTTTGCATCTTCCCTCCAACTCCTTAAACACTACAGCATGCACCAAAATCCCAAACAACTTTGCCAATATGCTGGAAGATTCTACTCAGTCCAAAAGCGTCCGGCCTTCAAACAAAGAGCTCAGGTTCTTCACCCTCATGTTACAAACAAAAGACTCTTGAAAAGAGTATTCACTTCCCCATGTTTCCTCAAGCAGCTTTGGCCTTTTTGCAAAACGGGGGCTGCAACCCAATCTAAAAGTACCAAACCCCGTTTCAGGCCCCTTTGAAAGCGCTCTTCCATTCCTTGTGGGGTCGGAATCAAAGCCTCGCCTGCCTATGGTTCTGGAAAATCACCCTTTTCCTGTGACCCTATGGCTATGTCGCTTCAACAAAAAAATCCCTTGTCACCAAGCCCCTATTTCCTGCATTCTGAATCTGCACTAAACGGGCCCTGCCACCAGGAACCCTTCCTGATAAACCGGGGATCCCGATATGTCCCCCTAAAACATCACCTCAAAAGGAAACTGTCTTTTAATACTGGCCCCCAGAATTATGATGTTAGCACCTACCCAAAGGCCCCAAGAAAAGTCTTTGGGGACCCCATTGCAACCTACTCAAAAGCCTTTCAGGGAAAATATGGGAAAAACTGAACTTGAACCCACCGCCAAACCTTCTACTTGGAACCGCCCCGCGGAACCCGAGAGACCGGCTTCTGCGCTCGACACCCCTGCGCCTGGCTGCGGAAGACCTCGCGGCGCCGCTGCTGCGCGGACTGCTCCTCTCGCGCCACCGCCTGCTCGCTGCGCAGCTCCGCTCGCAGCAGCGACACCAAGGCCTCGGCCTCGCGGCGTTCATCGGTCGAAGCTTCCCCGGAGAGGTGAAGGAGCCCGCAGATTTCTTGGATTCCGGGAAAACCTTCGCCTGTTTTTTTGGGGGGTAGGGGCTATACATTGAAATGACCAGCAAAACTGGTTCGGTCACTTGATAGGGATACTCTAACCAGAAGTGTGAAATCGAGGGTCTTTTGGGAGCATTCGCCGCATTAGCCATCATGGGGACAATCTTCCAAAACCCTTCTGTAAGTTTCCACGATTGTTGGACAAATGGCTAAAAACTTCGCAAACTTGACCAGGACCAACACAAATAAACAGGGTTGGTCTTTGAACAAGGGCGACCCAGCTGAACCCTGGTTGGCTCGCGCATGGCTCTGGCAGAGATACGAGTCTCAGCTGTTTTGACAATTGGCTGGTGGGGAAACTATCATTCGCCAAACAGTTTCACGACTGTCAGACAGTGTTGTAACAACTTACAGCTACCCCCTGGCAACATGTTTGACCCGGTGCGCCATTTTAAGATGTTTAGCTGCTTCTTTGCATGGACTCATGGTCTTGGCAACCAAAACCTGACCCTCTCAACAGCCGGCAGTGGCCATTGCGGCAACCAGAGAGGCCGCGGAGAGGTGGGTAACCATCTGGGACTCGGGAGTTTCACCGTGTTGGGTTGCAAACATCAAATCAACAAGGCTCGACGGGACGAATGAAGCTATGGGAATTGAAGTCAGCTGTATGTTCGCTACCACGGACTTTCACTGGGAAATGCGCAGATGAACAAACCTTTCAGCGAGGCTGGACGCCGTTCGAAGTGTGTCGGGTCCCTCCAAGAGGCCAAGTGTGAGGATCTGGACCCGTTGACACCACTACTCGGGTGATGTAGGTGCACAGGGCAACCGGTCAATCGGCCAAAAATTGGATGCCCGCATTGGTTCCTTGATATGTTCTCAACACTTCCAATGTACCGCGACGCGCATTAGTCGCTGTTGCTGCCTAATTAGTGTAGCCATGTGTTACAGAGCATGTTGCAGACTTAGCCCTGCACAATTTGTCTTCTTTGTGGAGCCAGCCGGTCTGAGTGCGGATCGGAACTGGCGGCCAAGCGCATCCGCATTGCTTTAACTGCGACTCAGCGCACTGTGCACTAAGCCGGGTTGCTCTTCCCTGAGCAAAAGGTCAACCTTTTGTAGATTTCCAAACGGTCTAAGTGGCCGTTTGTCACTCCGAAGACCGGCCAAGTCAGGGAGCTCCCAATACACCAGTTCCATGGATGCCTTTCCTGTTCGTGGGTCCAGAACTGCCATGCCCAATCACCAATCATGCCTCCTCCAACTGCGGGCGGCAAACCTCCATGCGCGACTCGGCGCTGAGCCTGAGATTCCAGAAGATAAGAAGGCGACAAAACTGGACAACCAGCTCCATTCTTGAGCCTACAGGTTCTGTCCCTGACTGCACAAAGGGAGGTGGACGAATCACATGCTCACCCGGCCGCTCTTCCAGACCCCTTCCAAAGAGGCTTGTGGGGCCTGCAAACCAGGGTACACAGGTGGGTTCCAACGCACGTCAAGATTCAGAGCTGCAATAACATTCCAAGGGCTCTTTCACTTTCGAGTCCCCACAGCAAAGGGACGCCCAAATGCTCACCCACCAATGTGACTAACTATTGGAGACGCGGTCGACAGCAACTGGCTCAGAGCCACCTTGTACAAGTTTGAAAAATGCACCTAAGCCCATTCGCGTTTGTGGAGCGCCTTGCAAGACGTGGCACTTTCTTGCAGTCTGACCAGCCCGCGGCTGCCGTACCCAATGCGTGCGAATGAAAAGGAGTACCAATGAAGTAGGGCAAGTAAGATAGTTGGGGCCTCGAGGCAATGCTGGCAGCGCATGGCCCGCTTTCATCTAGTTGTTTGACTCTCGCAAAATCTCCCAAATGTCAGTTGCCTCTTGCATTTTGAGCAGTAAGGACTAGCAAATGAGCAGCAATGCCCATAAAATGTGTCCTTCTAACGCCAGCAGAACTTGTTCATTATGATCATAACCTGCGGCACATTTGTACTGGGTTTCATTTGCCGGTGGTTTACCTCTCCATCTCAGGGATGATCCGACACATCCACTTGCCTTGTCTGAGCATCGCAAGATCATGGTTGTGCCGGAGAAATACTGTAAGACCGCAAAGGGCCAAAAACCACAAAACAAATGCTCCGTGGATTTTGAGGATACCATAAGAAGTTTTCTAGTCTCCCTCCATAATCTCATTCTTCCGAAACGGGCGAGTCTCCACTGAAAACCAGCCACGTTTCCTTGCTCTCCAATCTAAGGGGTGATCTTGGGATTCCAACCCTCTCCAAAAACATGCCTGAGGTTCGTCTTCTGGGGGATGGACAAAAACCCACGCCGATAAACGCACCACTTAGTCGGGCTTGATCCATCGGCGTGGATTTTGTCCGGCAGCAAGAATGTTTTCACCCGGACTACGAAAGGAGCCTAGTGATCTGTTTCGACGTCGCTGTGCTTTGACCAAAAGGTAGTGCCGTCTTTTTTTTCTAAAACTACCCAAAAGGGACATCGAGCGACCGAATCCTGGGAAATGAACGAGTTTGGACCAGCTGCAGCTCCTGATGCGTCTGCAGGAGCTCCGAGTCCTCGTCGGATTCCTAGGCCAGGGGCGCGGCTTCTCTTGAAACAACCCCTTTTGGGTTCACTTAAAAGCCCCAACCAGCGAGTGCTAAAATCTTTCTAGGGGTAGCTTCCCCATTTTTTTCAGGGATCCTTCTTTCTAGAAAACAACCAAAAGACCCGGGGAAATGGCTGGTTTGAAAAGAATGAGGAATCAACCCCTAGAATCTTAGCAGTTCCAGCTTGACAAAACCACAACGGTCCACTCCTATCGCAAACTCGAACACTGGCTTGGGCAAAATGTGCCTGCATGCTTCACCAAAACAAACTCCACGGCAACTGTCCCCAGGGTTTGAGCACCCGAGTTGAGGGGATCAAATGCCCCGGTCCCCTTTGGGGTGAATGGACCGACGGACCAATGGCTGGGTCCGTGTTGTTTCCCACAACCACAAAACGATACCGATCCGATACCTCCCATGTCGTATCCAGGGCAAAACTTGGATAAACGGAAGCCCACTGGACCCGCGCGGGTCGAAAATCTCCATGCCGGACTCAAGAGTTGTGGTTGGAGCGTAATGCGAAACTTGCCTACAGCAAGGGCCTAAACAAATACTATCTTAGTTTACTCCCAAAACCCTATTCTATTTGTGCTGCTACGCCCTACATTAAACAAGAACACACACACACACCCATGAACATGTGGCTTCTTGTAGAAAGACCATGTGGTCGTTTAAGGAAGAAAGCAACAACTGTGGGTTATTGAGCAAACAAACAAACAAACAAACAGACAGACAGACAAACAGACAGACAGACAGACAGACAAACAAACAAACAAACACAAGAGCGGTACCGAGTACAAATAACAGGTGTATGCGCGTATACATACACATGAAACAAATCATCACAAGCGTCCGCATGGATACGCCTCTGTCCTGCTTCTAAGCTGAGGTTTGGTCAGAAGATGCAAACGAATCAGCTATATTGGAGCCAACATGTAAAGAAGTAAAATGCTGGAAGCAATGGCCCCAAAGCAAAAAACAGTAACAAGTGAAACCCAGGAGACAATGACCCAAAAGAAAAAGCACAAATCAGGATGCAAGGACCCAAAAACCAAAGAATGAAAACAGGTAAAATCCTGGAGACAATGACCCAGCAGCAGAATGTACAAAAAACAAACAAACAAAGAAAGAAAACGCGTACAACAAATAACCTATCTCAATCCACGGTCAAAGCATTTTGCTTCAGGACCCTGGGTTGAACAATTTTACTGATTCGCTGTTCAGCTGTTGTTGAGATGTTACTTGTTTTACTTGCTTTTTCTTACTTTTGGGTCATTGGCTCCAAACTTGTACTTCTTTTGGGCTTTGTACTTTTGGCTTTAGCCCCCACGTTTTCTGTTGTGCTTGGTCTTATCGAGCTTGTTGTTTTTGTTGTTTTCCCTCAGTGGCTTTTTTGAACTATCCCGCCAAAAACAAACCAGAGTATGTGTTCTCGTGTATTCCTTCTGAAACATGCAGAAAACCAACAAAACACTGAGTTGTGTTGGTTTGTGGGCATTGCTCATCAAGCTTGTTGTTTTTGTTGCGACTTTCTGCCTCACATTCTTATGCAGGTGTGATCATATATGCACACGCATTGCTTCGATATGCCTTGACATCTTTTGCTGAACACTTGTACCAGCGCAGTCAGCCACGCCGGTCAATCTCTTACCAAATTGGACCTTGATTAAACAGATATCAGAATCTAAATATAGAATTCAATCAGGGCAAAGTTTAAATAGAAATTCGATTATAAAGCAGAATGAAACAGCTGGCTTTAAATTCAAGAGCTGGCTTTAAGTTCTTGACTCAAGCCTCATAAGGTTCCTTCTAAGGCTCCTTACAAAGCTCCTTACAAGGCTCGTAAGGCTTCTTACAAGGCTCCTTATCAGCTTCTAAGGCTCGTTACAAGGCTCATTGCAAAGCTCCTTGTAAGGCTCCCTTCCTTGGCTCCCGACAAAGCTCCTTTTGAAGTCTGCTTGTCTTTCTGCAAATCCTTTGGAAGCTGCTTGCAAAGTTGCTTACAAGGCCTCTTGTGAAGCTCCTCAATAACGCCCTTAGACTATATTGTCAAGGCTTCTTATACCAAACAGGAAGTTGATTACAATGAGATGCTCAACATAATGCAATGAAACAATCAGTGTTGTATAAAACTTACGTTCAGAATAATAATTTGAAGAGTAAGTCCTTTCCAACCATAATGTCATGATGATATGGAGTTGTGTAGAGTTTGGTAAGGAACATAATTCAATCCGAATTTAAAAGTATAAGTTAAATATGGTGGCCGGTTCCAAAAAGGATTTCGATTAACATTGATTAGACTGGGGGAACTTCACAACGATGGAACCTTATTTTAAGATCTACTTTACAATGGAATGGAGCTCATTTACATTTGCAGATGGACCAGAACACAAACAGGAATTTTATGCAATTATGTGCAGGGTGAATAAAGCTGCTCCTCTCAAGGCTCCTCATAAGGCCCCTTATGCCAAATAGGACTTTAATCAAGATTCAATTAGAATTTGACGAGAGTATGGGAAGAAACAATGAGGTAACTTGTCTATTTTGAATGAGGGTCTGAAAAGTATTACTTTCCAAATATGACTTTAACTGTAGAGTACTTCAAGCATAATTTAACGGGGAAGGCGTTTAATCTGAATTGCTATTTGCAACAATTCAGTTTGAATACAGTATGGATGTTGTGAAACAAAATTGAAATGCACAATCGAGCAGGATTTGACAAGCAGCTGGCATTTATTTTGACTTGTAGATGTAACATAACACGGACAAAGGTGACACTGACTTCTTTCGCTTGCAGAACATGACACATTGTGATATACAATTGTTTTGTGCCCGAAAACAGCACAACTGACACAAACAAAGTGGATCCGGGGGGGGCAGCATCCATGTGCTGAGCTGATGCTGGTCAAGTCGCACGGGGCAATCCAAATAAAACAACTGCATTCCATCTGCAAAACAGCTTTCAAACGGCCAAAAGGTAGATCCATCGGCGGGTACCAAATATATATATATATATATATATGTAGATACCAAATATATACCATATATGATACATATACATATAATATATACATGTACATGCATGTATATATTATATATATATGTCAATCTATGCAACATAAAAAGGTCTCCTGGACGTCTGACTGAAAAGGAAATCCCTCGGTCAGCCCAAGGCCTGAAGCTCCACCTGGATGGCCTTCAGCTCGTCCCGGTGTAGCTCCAAGTCCGCGAGATGCTGCTCCAAGGGCTGAATGTCCAAGCCCTCGGCGCTGGGGGGCTTGGGGGGGGGGGGGCTTGGGGGCTTGGGGGCTGGGTCTGAAAGTTCAGGGAGATTTGGGGACTTCCGTTGGTGGTTGAAGAACCAAACGGTACAAGGGGGTTACAAGAGAGGTTGGGGGTTAAAGAAAACAGGGGCGCCGTCTGAAAATAAACACGATTGGATACACTGTGATGGACGCACTTATTGGCGGTGAAAGATCCAACACCATAAACCCAACCTCATACCGAAACCCCGCCCATTAGACCTAAACCTCAAGCCCTAAACCAACCCGCCTCGGGCTCCGCATCATCCAGCTCCAGGTGCACCCCGCACCTACCAGGTGTCTCAAAGTGAAGCCGTTGCGTTTGCAGCCACCTTACAGTTAAAGGATCCGCCATGTTGAAAATCACCAATTTCAGCTCAGTTCAGTTCTGAGAACATACAATATTCTACCAACATTTTCATTTGGCGCCCCGCACCTCGCCGCGCGCTCCGCCACCGCCCTCAGCGCTTCCGCCTCCGCCGCGCGCGTGTCGAGCGAGCTTTCGATGGCGTCGAGGCCGGCGAAGGCGCGGAGCACTGCGCCGGAGGCCCGCCAGGTCTTCTGGCGCTCCTGCGAATGGGTCGGATGAATTCAGATCCAAACCATTTGGGCGTCCCTTTTCTCAGGCTCGGTTTGATTCAAAAGGGGCTTCCGAAGCAAGGGGCTATTGACTGGCTGATCACGTGAGTGTAACTGGGTATTCATTAAGGGGCTTCAACGGGAAACCAAAGGGAAAACCCACCATTTTGGGGGTCGCCAAAACGAATCAACACCAGGGCCCGAAACTCCCCGGCTGAAACTTCCAAAGCAGGCTATTGACTGGCTCAAGTGAGCGTCGCTGAATCTGGGGTCCGGGGAAGGGATCTGAGAGGACCAGTTTCACAACGTAGATGTGTCGAATTGGGACATCGGTGGCGAATAAGATGAGACGATGAAGCAACCCCAAACATTTCAAAAGGAAGATTGAGCGCAAATGCAGACATTGCCGCAACTGAAAGCAACCCACAGGAAGCAGCTGATGGCTTGTGAGACGCAACCACCTGCTGCTTCCACACAGGGACCTATAAAATTGCTTGGCTTCCTGGCGTCCACCTTTGCACACCATCCAAGGTCCCATTGTTGTAGGACAACCCCCACTAAAATCAATTCACATGTTCTGTTCGCGAGGTCGGCTCGCCGAAAGATTGAGTCGAGAACTCACAGGCCCGTCTTTCAACCAGCGGGCCAAGTACATCGGAAGGCGCAGACCAAAGAGGCCCATGCCCAGGCTATTCTCATCCCTAAAGGCAGATTTGATCTGGACATAAGCCACGACCAAATTCACTGCTTCTCTACTGGACATAAACACACATGTAGTCCCCAAGCTTCTTGTGCGGGAAATCTAAAGACCGAACATCACTTGAGCCAGTGTAAATTGCTGATTTCCCCAAGAGGACAATCGATCCTGAAAAGGACCATAGACTGCCAGCACTTGTGACCGAACTTTGCATGTCCATACCCCAAACATCGGGCGCCAAAAAACCGCGCATGGTGGACAAAAATAACAACAACCGGGATACCAAAGTGGCATCGAGTCCCACTCAACTCACGTGGCAAGAACTTTCGGCCGTCGGGCCGTCGGGTGCCTGGTAAAGCTCCTCTTGCAGCGCAGCCTGGCAGCGACTGGCAGCCGCCAGTTCCTCCACCAAACGCGCCTAGCGGAGGCTCCGGGGCTTCGCGGGTATGGCTTCGAGAAGGGATCCCGAGATTCTCCCTTAAAAGATCACCCCCACCAACCCCAAGTTGCCCCAAATGGTGATTTGTTGAAGCCAACCAAAAGGAAAAGGCTAGGGAAACCTGGTACGTGCTCAAAGTAGGGGGCACTAAGCATGGTGAATCGGAGCCAAACGGGGCTGGGTTTCAAAAAAGGACCCTTTGGGCATTTACTGGGGTTTTATGTCCACCATGTTTTACAGCCCCCTAGTCCACATCCCCATTCGGGCTCTAACAACTACCCAAGTTCTGAGAACCAAAGTGGCTCGAAGAAAATGATGGGAAATCCGCCCATCAACACCAAACGCCTCAAAGGATTCCAGCTTGAAGCTCAAAGAGGATATGCCAACGTGACTCGACAAGGTCCAAATGGTGGGCTCAAAACGGAGCTTGCTTCCCCATTCCTTTTGCGGTCGGTTCCAAAGCAGGGAAATGCTTGTAAACAGTTTCCTCATTCACATCTTCTCCGGCACCTGTCTGGGAGAAAAGCAATGCGCAGATTCACCAAATCCGTTAAGCGCCCCCAGAAACCATAAGCCTATTTGTGAAGGCACACGTCCACTACCATCAGGGTAAAGCGAAGCTTAGCAGACTGGTGCTGTGCCAGACCAGGCAAGCTGCGCATTTTTTTGCAATTGCGCGGTTTACTGTGCTTCTGGTGTTAGTAGGTGGGTCTGTCTCAAGAAGTTTGGACCACGTGAGTTTCTTTGATGTTGCCTTAAATTCCAACCAATTGGGGCAGGGAGGGGGGGATCCCAAAAGAAGATGTGTATAAAATGAAATTTTGCAAATAATAGATGTATACGTATATTTGCATGACGGTCGAAACACACTACATGGCTGGCTGCCATCGCTGGCACGGGTGTCGCTCTTCATGAACCCCCTATCGCTCACTACAGTGGCAGCTCGGCAGCTCACTTTTGGCACCTCCAGCTCGAACATCGCAACCCTGTAGTACAAGTCCAGTACCCGAAGTACACTTCCGCTGCTCCAGCTCAAAAATCGCAACTTTATAGTACAAGTCTAGTACGCGAAAAGCCAACCGCCTACTTGAAGGGGCCATGGGTGTCGCTCCATAATCTGATAGGTATCGCTCCGGGTGTCGCTCCGGCGGCCGGATTCTTCCCGAAATCAGGAGCTGCCCACACATGCAACTCATCATTCAAAATCCGGCTAGCCCTAAACTCCTAAACAGGGGTGTCGCTTTTCATGGCCCCCCTGTCCCTTACTACACGTTTCTAAACATTTTGGTCATGTCATGGTGGCCAAAGCAAAGAACTTTGACCCTTGCTCACATGTAGATATTTATATATATGTAAAGAGAGGGGAGGCAAATCATATGTAAAGGTGGATATATCTGTTCCAGGTTCTAGGTCCCCCCTCCACCTTGATCATGGTACGCCCTCCCCTTGTGCAGTGGTTGTGCGCGGGTTGGATTGATTAGGGTTGCAGGGTCGCGCCTTCAGCCGTGCCCGGTATGGGGGAACATGGGATCTGTAAACTGTGTATGTGTACACCTTGATCTATCTATCCCGACATCTCTCCATCTATGGATCGATCTAGGTAGGCACTTACACATTATCTGCAACCCTTTCCTTTTTGTTCCCGTCGCCTGGCAAGTCACCTCTGACAAGCTCACCACTGGCGGCCGGGAGCGCCTGAGCTGAGCCACCTGCTCCTGGCCCAGAAGTCCAGAGTAGCTATTATTGCTGAGGTATGTATGGCTACGCGTATATGTATGTATATGTGTATAGCTATGTATATATATATATACACTTATGTAGTATACAGTTTATGAGTAGATGTATGTCTGTCCGTCTGTCTCCGTGTCTATGTGTATGTGTAGTGTATATGTCTATGTGTATGCATATGTATACGTTTGTGCATATGTAGTTGTGTATGTATATGTATATATGTGTGTGTGTTTGTGTGTGTGTGTGTGTTTGTGTGTGTGTATGTGTATCTGTGTATTCATGCATGTATGTCTGTCTGTCTCTGTCTGTCTCTGTCTGTCTCTTTCTGTCGGTCGGTCGGTCGGTCGGTCGGTCTGTCTCTCTCTGTCTGTCTGTCTGTCTGTCTGTCTGTCTGTCTGTCTGTCTGTCTGTCTGTCTGTCTGTCTGTCTGTCTGTCTGTCTGTCTGTCTCTCTGTCCCTCTCTCTCTCTCTCTCTATGTCTCTCTCTGTCGCTCTCTGTCTCTCTTTGTCTGTCTGTCTTTATGCATGCATGCATACATGTATGTATGTATGTATGTATGTATGTATGTATGTATGTATGTATGTATGTATGTATGTATGTATGTATGTATGTATGTATGTATGTATGTATGTATGTATGTATGTATGTATGTATGTATGTATGTATGTATGTATGTATGTATGTATGTATGTATGTATGTATGTATGTATGTATGTATGTATGTATGTATGTATGTATGTATGTATGTATGTATGTATGTATGTATGTATGTATGTATGTATGTATGTATGTGTATGTATGTATGTATGTATGTATGTATGTATGTATGTATGTATGTATGTATGTATGTATGTATGTATGTATGTATGTATGTATGTATGTATGTGTGTGTGTCTGTCTGTCTGTCTGTCTGTCTGTCTGTCTGTCTGTCTGTCTGTCTGTCTGTCTGTCTGTCTGTCTGTCTGTCTGTCTGTCTGTATGTATGTATGTATGTATGTATGTATGTATGTATGTATGTCTTCCCTTCCGCTTCATTCCATTTCCCTCCTTCCCGTTGTGTTCGACTCCCACTGCATTCCAACCTCCATCTATTCGTTTGGGGCGTGCCATGTTCCATCAGAAAGTCTAACCCGGGACTGACCAAGCAGCCCGAAACCGTCCTTGCAGTTCCCCAGGCGCGATCTCAGCTCGAGATTCTCGCTGTTGGCATCCTGCCGTGGCGGATGTTTGGCTTCGCGGTGATATGATGTGCCTTGGGCCGGTTCTTTGGACACTTCGGAGTGGGGAACATGGGGCGGCATGCCAAGCCCCACGGGGGTAACAGGACTTTCCTGACAAATTCTTGGCTGCTAGCCACTGCTAGTTGACGGGCTCGGATGTACGTTACCCGGCAAAGTCTGCTGAGCGAACCCTATCGGTGTTTCGGAGTTTAACTGGTCCCCCAGATCCCTATCGGTGGGTTGCGAGTGTAAACACTTTGAACCCTGCCATCCAAAAAGGCCACGCACGATTGGGACACGACCTACCAATGTGTTGGCATTCAAAGTAGGCAAAACAACTCGAGAAAACAAAAACACACTACCAACAAAAACAGCTTAGGCCCCAAGTCTCGACACGCGACATAGTTCTTCTGTTGCTTTCTCGAGGAAGGTTTTGCATTTTGTGGAGAAGTGTGAAACACCTCAAGAAAACCAACAGCAAAACACTACACACCCACACAAAATAAAGCAAGACTATGACCTCAAGTCAGAAAAGGTGACAGGCTTGTTTGTTGGTTTTCTCGAGTTGCTGTTGCATGTTTCGGAAAAAAAAAACAAAACAAAAAAACTCCAGATACTGTAAATAACAAGACTATGCCCCTGACAGGTGATAGAGTCTTGCTTCTGTTGTGTTGGCTTGGCTTTCTCAAAGGTTGTTTTTGCAGTTTGTGGAAAAGTGCGAAAATCCTCAAGAAAACAAACAACACACAAGACAAAAACTGCGTCAGTTGTCCTGACTTGGGGGACATAGTCTTGTTTGTGTTGTTGTTTTGTTTGGGTGTCTCAAGGTGTTTTGCAGTGTTTACATTGTCCTTTTTCTGGCCTGTGTGCAAGATATTTTGTGTTCAAGTGCACTTGTGTAGTTCACATCCAAGCCTAGTACGGTAAAGCAGGAGATTGTTTGTTTCCCTATTAAATTCAGATTGATTTCAGTTAGAAATTGAGTAAACTTTGATAAAGATACTAAATATAATTCATAAGGACAAATCAGAGGTTCCACAATTGTTGAATAATGCTTATTGATATGCAAAGACAGTTCTACTGGAAAGGAACTCCTGGGCAACATTCAATTTGAGCTTCAAAATTAAAACTAGACGTGCTGATTGGATTGTGCTCTTACTAAAACTTGTTGAATTTCTGTTATTAAGTAAAAGTAATCAGAAAATAATTCAGAGGTCCCAAAACCATGGTCAGAAAACACTTTTACACAGTGTGTTGAAGCTGTCCTTGTACTCAATTTGAGTTTGAATAGGACTTAAAAGGGACTGAGTCAGAAAATCGTGGTTCCCACTACTACCGGAAAGTTGATCTTGAGTTTAGACCCTAGATAGAAATCCCATCCCAATAGAGCTTTACATTTCAATTGGAGTTCAAACATAAGTTGCTAAGGAACGAACCCAATCTCAATTTCTATTTTAGATTAGACATTCAATCATACTGATTCTATTTTAGAATATATGTTACACAGGAGTTTCTGTCCAAAATAATTTCTTTACGCATCAGTTAGCATTTAACCCCACATTATTCAAACAAAGTTCAACTCAAATGTCCATTCAACATGCGAACAAAGGGCACGCTCACAGCGTCCCGCCCGCCAACTGTAATCCAGGGTCTACATTAGCACCGGTACGGTGGATTCCCTTTTATTTCGCAAGCTGGGGAACAAGGAAAACCCAACTCACCATGCTGTGGTAGTTTGTTTTGCCATGGGTGTGGCTCAAAATTAAACAGGAGGGGTTACGCGGGTGTTGGTCCATATTTCCACTTACCAGGGTTCCATTTCGGTACCGGTTTTTTGAGCCACGGCCATATGTGGGTGGGTGCTTTTTTTTCCCCCCTCCAAGGGCCACATCCCTGTGTTGACATACTGTGGATGGACGAACTCCTGCACCGCTTTGAAGCCATGGGAAACCATTGGCATTTACAGGGGAGTCATCAATCCAGGGTTTCTTAAGTGGTGCTAAGGATTTCGTCCATCCACGGATGGACGAAATCCTGCACCACCTAAGAAAACATGAGAAACCACTGTTTGTTGGTATTTACAGGGAATCAGACCATTCCAGGGCTTCTTGGGTGGTGCGAAATGGATTTCGTCCGTCCACAGTCGGGGCCAAGGATTTCGTCCCCGTAGAGCTCCTGGATCTTTTCCGCCAGGGCGTCCCGGGCACTGCAGAGGCGCTGCATGAAGGCATTGGACTCTTGGCACCTCGATCTATTCTGCCAATTCGGGGGGGGATCCCCAAGCGTGGTGATATGATATATAATATAATACGTGTTTTTTTTTGTTTGTTGTAATATATATATATATATATAGGATATACGTATTTGGTATTTGGGTACCTACATATATGTAGACACGTATGGTGTGTTGATATCCTTGAGGGCTTCAAAAACAGCTAGCCAACTTGCAGATTTCTTGACCTTGTTGGTTCCGAGGACCCAGTGGGGAGACGGTCAACAGGTCGACCCAGGTCCGGAACAAGACGTTCCACATCTCAAAGAGCTCTAACATCTTTAGGAGGAAACCCACTGAGCAGAAGCCCCTGCAGATTTTTCCACCTGAACTGGGCCCAACCCATTTCTGCCTCGAGGGAACCGGCAAAGGCTCGAACTTTCCACTGGTAGACACAAAATGGATGATGTCAAACTTGAAATGCAAGTCCAGGGGCAACCTACCAAAGCCATTGTCAAGAGTCCGAGGAGGTCCACAGAAGACGCCAGTGCTTTGCGCAAAGGGCAAACGGAGCTATGGGAATGGTGCACGACCACGTTCACATTTTCCGGGGGCATCACTGTTTTGGATCGGTGGTTTGGAAATTTGATCTGGGTAAACCGGAAAAAGAAACCAGGCCGGGACAGCAACCCCAAGCCAATGAAAACCACCGGCCCGGTCAGTCTGAGGCGCTGCCAACGGCTCCGCTCTTGGAGCTGCTGAAGCTCTCTTCGCAGGCGCCGCTGCATCTCCCGCTTTGCCTCCCAATTCCCGGCCACTTTCAAGCGAGCCTGACCCCGGAAAACCCCCCTCACCCCTCCTCCCCAGAAAACAATTAAATGCGGAGACATCCCTTGGCAAGTCCGAAATCAAGTAAATGGGAGTTCACCTGTGCGGCGTAAACGTCCCCGGAACCCATGCTGAGCGGTGCGTCGGTTTGGAGGGTGTCCACCGACACAAGGCTTCCTGTTATGCCCTAGCATTCTCTGACTGATAGATGCAGGTGACATCAAGGGGCTTCCTGGAAATCCCAAAGGCTGCAAAATGGCACGCGCCCAAACACAAATGCCGCTCAAAGCGCCTGTGTGCGATAAACATCTTCCAAGGGTGATTGTTTCTTCCTGTAAGCAAACTGTCGACCACCCTAGGGGTTTTGGAGGTGTACCCCAGCTGGACACGTCCCGCCTCCACCTCTGCGCGCAACTCCTCTGGAGACTCGGCACTGTCCTCCGAGACTTGGTCGCTGATTTGTCTCAGGATTTTTCCTGAAAAGCTTGCAGTAATTCCCAAAGCTAGAAACAGGGGAAGCCCAACAAAAATAGAATCTTCTTAATTACCTTCCGCATGAGCGAGCTCGTTTGAGCCCCAGGTGAGTTCGTTGCAATTGGCCCAGTGCTGGTTGTTCCCCCCAGCGCGGCTTTGGGGCGATGACCACTGCCAACACTGCCACCGCCACCGCTCAAAAGGGCCGCCGCCGCCAGTCCCCCCACCCACCCCACCCACCCGAAGAGTCGCTGGAGCTCCTCCTCTCCCTTGGCGAGGTCTGATAGCATCGCCAGGAGCTTCTCATCGGAGGCCTTCCGGCAGCCAAATCACCGGATGATATGGCCAACTCAAAATTGGGGACCTCGTTTAGGTGATGATTCATGTCCACAAAACCATGTCTGTAAAGTGGTTCCTATTCGAATTCACAGCCAAATGGGCAGTGTGTTTTGTTGTATTCAAGCGGAAGCCAGGATACCAGCCACCCGGGAATGTTCTTTTATGACGCCATATAAACGATGCAAAATCAACCTGTCGGATTCCTTGGACGTGCCCCCCAAAAGGTTCCCCCCACCTCGTTTTCACCGGACTGGTTGCAACTTTGAAAACAATATAATATCCATACGTGTGTATATATACATATATATGTGTATATATATATATCTTCAATCATGCCACTGGTTCCACCTCGCACAATTTAGAAGCAACCCCAAAACCGATGATGCGAACTTTTGTTTGTCAGCTTACCAATGATGGGCTCTGATTTGAAGCCCCCATGGCTTGGAGGTTTTGGGCGCTGTCGGCGTTGCATCAACAGCGAGGGGATCGAATACGTAATTTGCGGTTCAATAATGAAACTGCCAGTAGCCGGATCAGGAGTTCGTGAAAGAAAGCGGCAAGCCGGAGACATTTGATTTGGGGGTGTGCTAAATTGAAACGAAACCGTCAGATAAGGCGTGCAAAGGTAGTCAACAGGGAATTCATTCTTGGTATGCCCTTTAAACACTGCTTGTCACCTTTCCTGAACACAGCCATGTTCATGGGACACCCCCCATTTGGTTGTCGCCATACATACACCAGCTTCATTCACCGGATACCTTCAGTTTGGGGGCCCACTACGTGTATATCCTGGTCCCCTATAGTAAGGGTGCTCCAGTCCCGTAGGTTTCCCTTTAAACGGTTGGCTTCCCTTCTACCAACGCAGGTACCGCTTTGGTATCTTTGGGGAGCGGCCTCATAGGAGTCCTGGGTGGAGAGCAGGGAGCCCTCGGACTCAGCGTGCCACTTGGGGCCGGCGTCCAGCACCTGTGCACGTTGGACATGCTTTGGCCGAACGAGAAACTGGGTAAGATTCACGTTTCGTCCGAGCGGAGGGGTCCAAATGCAAATCGCTTGCACGAGCGCGATGAGAAGAAACGCCACACCCTTCTGGGTGGATGGCAGGAATGCCGTGTTGAAATGTCCACGCCGAACCAATGGGAAGGTGTAAACATGTTCCGGTCCGGAAGGTCCTGTCTTCAGCGATCCCGTGACAAGGCGGGCTTCTTTCGTGCCTGCCGCAGCGTGCTGGGAGTGGGGGTCTCATCCTCCATAGCGTGGGTCTTTCTGACCCAAAAAGGCGGTTGTAACCCAGCTAATCAAAGGGCGCCAATCAGCGTATTGGAACCTGTTACGGTGCTCTACGCGTAGCTGCTGATTCTCTGTGGCTGAAAAAAGTCCCAACCTGCCACAGCGCCCAGACTTCAGCGCTGGAAACGGCCCGCGGCCGGCCGGGCAGGTTGGGTGGAAGTGGCGGGACTTGAAACCGGCTGCGTCAAGCCTCATCCAAGCAAACTGAAAGACGAAAAACTATGAGAAAATGCCTGAAGAGCCTTTCTTCACCAATTTGACCGTCTATTTGGAACGACTGCGTGGACATACACCTTGACTCCGATGTTTTTGGGGTGGGTGACACTCGTGGCCCGGACGAACCTCCGTGGTGCGAAATGCGAAACGAGACCGAGCAACACTCAAACTTCGAAGCTTGGCACAAGATATGGCCTGGTGCAAGTACTTTTGACGGGCCAAGAAGTGGTCAAAGTACATCGGTCCAAGTACGTTCGAAGATGGGCCAAGTGGTCAAGGTACGGGTACATCCTCACAAGGTACTTGGACTCTTAAGGATGGCCAAAGGGCCCAAGTGCCCTCCAAACAGCTGGGTTCTCCCAAATGTTGGGCTGCCTCCATGCCTGGAAGTCCTCCAAAAACAGATCTTAACACCACCTCAGCGGAAGCACAACCAGTCCCGAGCCCGGGCGGGCGTTCAGATTCACAGGACTGAAAAAAACACGACACCGACACGTTTTGGAGAGGTTTCCAAGAGCCGTCGCCGCCATTCTTTTGCTCTCAGGCTCCGCCGCTTCACGATCCTCCTGGGGGCAAAAGCAGCTCACCATTGAACATCCGCTTGTACACGTGGGTTGCCCAAAGGGTCCGAGTGTCTGAAATGAAGAAGCCTTGATTTCCCACTTGGACTGCTTTGCGCATAGACCGTGTGGTGAAGCTAGTCCACTTGCATATGCGGATCAAAATCTTGACCGGCGAGACTCCAAACATACTGTTGCAAACACATAGAATCGGGTGCGAAAAGGCAATTTTTCCATCCCAAACCCAGGGGCCCAAACACCAGGGTCGAAACCCACTGCCAAAGACGCCTCAACAAAACTCGGAATGCCAACCTGGGCTCACTCTGTGTGCCAACTTTCAAGGAATTCTTTGATGGATTCGTGCCGGACTTTTAGCACGAATCAGTAGGACAGGGGCATGAGAAGAGGGGCGCAAGTCCTTGCTGTCGGGCTACCCTTTGGGGAAAAACCTTGCTTATGGTTTGTTTAATGGGTTTCTGTGCGAAACGCACCTGTAAAAGACACATTTGTCTGACAGTTGCAAAACAACATCATGTTCAGGCTGTTCAGGTGTTCATGCTCGTCCACACAACACATGCCAAAGGCGAGGCGGGAAACAGGCAATCCTCCCTGGAGCCTCTACAATTGGTTGGCCTTGTGCTGCTTGCCTCTCAAACGAGGCAATTGGGAAGGCATTGGCCACCCGCACCTTTGGCCAGTCCTCTTTTGTGGGAATGGGAAAACGAGCGGTCCCTCCATGTCCTCTCCAAATGAAGCACACGGACTGTCAGATCCGTTGCTCAAATGTTGGTAGTTTAAGCAAAAGGTTGCCCCCCGCCGCAAAAAAGGAAGCACAAGGGCACCACTTCAGGTTTGGGCCACATGATCCCGTACCCCCAGTGAGCATCCCAATCCCCACTAAAATAGGTTCTAAAATGGGTGGTGCACCAGCCACATAAATGGACAAGTCGCCTCATCGAGAAAGAGCACGCCGCCCGCGCAGCAAGGCAGGCGCAGGCGCCCGTGGTCTCGTGCAAAGGCCTGGTGATGGTGTGCGTGATCCACCAGCCTCACCGACCCACTCCCCCACTTCCCCTTGTTTCCCAAAATAAGACCTTGACCTGCGGTTGTTTGGACACTGAGGGGCGGGCCCCTGTCCCCGCCCCCATCATTAAGAGCATTTACAGTATTTGCGGGGTGGATCCTATGTCAAGGTGGCACCAGGAAAAAGCCACAGGATCACCGCAATGAGTCCATGGGGAGGATCGATTCAAGGTATTGCCGTTCCCAACCGCACATCCCGTAACAAATGTACTGAGAGATCCTCAAGGAAGGAATGGGAAAGAGATGGGAATGAGAGCAAAGGGAAAGGAACTTCCGGGCAGCGTTCGGGAGCCACTAAAAGTAGTTGCGCGGAGTGAGGTGTTGGCAAGAGAAACGCAGAAGACAATGCGGACAAAACGTCTTGGTCTTGGGAACATGAAGCAACTCCATGCAATGTGATAGGTATCGTTGCCACGCACACGCGCGTGTGGTTTAAAACAGAAGGACCGGTGATTGAAATGTAATGAAGAATCCAAAAGTTGGGCACTCGGAGCGCTTGCTGTGCACAGAAATCTGGTTTCCAAGCATGAACGGAGACTCAAGATAGTCGCTTGGCCACGTATTGGTTTGTCTGTTTGTTGCCTGGTTTGCTTCCTTGTTTGCTTGACTGGGTTGCTATTCCCCCCTGAGCAAACGGTCCAACCTCTTGTAGGTTTGACGTAAAAGCCATTCGTCTCCAAAAGATCCAAGGGGCCATCTGGTCGCACCACAGGCTAGCCAAGTTGCTTTGCCAAAACCTGTGTTGCCAGAGGTTGCACCAACCAAACCCGTCGACTAAGGCGGCATTGGACCGCACTTGTCCGCCAAAACAGCTTCCATGTCTGGGGCATTTGGGGTAATCCTATCCAGGTGTTGTCTTCAAACGTCTTAACATGGGTATGTACGGCATGCCCTATGCTTTGAAAGGGAAACAAACAAGAAAGGCTTAGGGCCTTGGGCTTAGCATTAAAACAAAAACAAGATGTGACTTTTGCGACACAACATCGCAGCCATGCAGCGTGCCACAAAAGAATGCTCATGTTCACACTCCGGGCAAACAAACAACCACCCCGCCAATCACACCTCTGCGGGGGAGACTTGAATAATCCAAACCTGGAGGTGCGCTTGGGGGGTGGTACTGTACAGTTGCGCCAAGGATGGATGAAACTGATGAATCTAGGGGTTGATTCCCCATTCTTTTCAACCATTGCTTTTTTTCAAAAACCAGCTGTTTCCCCTGGGTTCTGATGGTTTTCTGGAAAGAAGGATCCCTGGAAAGAATGGACATGGAAGTGTCCCCTAGAATGAAACCCAATCACCTGGATTCACCTACCAGCTCGTGCGGTGCAGGAAGTCCACAGTTCCATGAGATCTTGTGGCCTCCACGCAGCAATCCTTCAGCGCTTCCGGGGGCGCCTCCCGAAACTTCCTCAGGCGAGCGCGTATGGAGGATCGGGACCCTTTTCAGGTTTGTTTAAATTAAAGGGAACCTAAAAGGAAAACCAAGGCCATTCTTGGGACCCAGATCCCTAGCTTGACACATATCTACGTGAGCGGTGCCCAAAACCAGTGGAGATTTGGTTGCTCTGATGGCGGTCCTTCGCGGAGCTTTCGTGTGTATGTGTTTGCCTTTCACGGCGGCTTGCTTCGCATCAACCCATTCGCAGCGCGTTCGCGGCGGCTCCTCGAACATAGCAGGGCGACGTTTCTGTACAAGAGTTGAACACCAAGTACACTTTGGTAGCTCAACATCGTAGCACACCATGGTATGCGGAGTATTACCGCAGCTGACAAACATCACGCGGCGCTTGCTTGAGAAACACATGTCAGGCCTTGCCTCTTGAACCGCATTGAGCATTCCCGATGCACTTTATCATATTTCCTGACCACCAGACCCCATTTTTCGAAGGTGGGTCTGCAATTCCAGCATATTCCAGCTGTGGGTGTTTCTCAAAAGGTCCCTTATGGTGCTTGGTTTCCTTGGCTTCCCCTTAAAACCATACAAGGAACCCCTAATCATTCCCCCCTACTAACAAATACACCCTATAATTATTAATAAATTTCGCTTGCCCCAGACCGCCGGGCCCAAATGCTACTTGTTGAAATAGGCAGATTCTAAACCAATACTAAGCTGGCTGACTTCTCGCCCAGGCCACCCCACCCTTATCAGGGGGTACTCTAGGACCAATACTAAATCAATACCAAACCAACACGAAACCAATACTAAACCGCTACTAAACCAAGGTTTAAAGCAATTCAACTCCAGCGCAAATCTGAGGAAGAAAAAAAACTGTGATTCCTGCTATTCAAATTCCTTACTCACAACCCCATTTGGACGAGGAGCATGGCGGTAAATCCGACCCCACATTACCCGGAAAATAAATATCGTTCCGGCCCGAATATGTATCATTCGGAGTAGAGGGGAAAGGGGAGGGGCGTGTGTATTATTGGGGCAAAGGGAAGTGACTATTCGGAGAAGCGATTGTGTGAGCCTGGTCACGCGCAATGTTGCTCGTCCAAACTGACCACAAATCCCGGCATCTGGGCGTTGAATGGACTGGCTGGTTCCTGACAATTTGCGCATGATCCACTTTCAAACTGTGCAGCTGTTTGGACATGGGAAAGCTAGTGTTGTCCCCTGGACTTTTTGACCGAACCACACATGTTTTAAGCCGTTCTCTCTCCAGGCGAAGACCATATTTACACGCATAGCTCAGTTTCCTTGCGCATGCCGTTAGTGCCTGATAACTCATGGGATCCTTCACCCCTCCCCACCCCCTCCCCCACCCAAAAAAAAGATTCCTTGCGTTCTCGAGGCTTGCAAAAAGCAAGCTGGTTTTTCTCTGTGTTTGTAGCTTTTGAGTCCCCGGGACATTCATGTTTGGGCCATCCATCCCCAGATGGATGGATCCTGGCCAATTTAGGAAGTGGCTGCAATCGTGCATGGTTGTGCAAGCTCCCCATTCTCTGATACCAACATGGGCCATTCCCATGAACGGTTTAAGACTTCGGATTTTGTTTGGTATCCTAGTGACTAGTGCCCATCTTCGCCTTTGATCTACAATTGATTCAGAGCCATAGGGGAACCGTCTAACCGTCGCTGGGCTGGTCAACCTTCAACCCCTAAAGCTGGGACCTGGGATGCAAATCACTTCTACCGTCCTCGTTTTAGTCAAGGGCAATGCAAGATGGTACCAAATGAGTGTCTTTTCTGGGGGGACCCCCAGCCAATGGCTTCCCTTCAACACCACAAAAAAGGCGTACCCTCCAAAAACGCCACACATTCAAAGTTTGGGTGTGGGTTTTTTTGGAGGGTACCCTTTTAGTGGTGTTGAAGGGAAGCATGTTGACCCAGTTAAGCCAACCCGGCCATGAATAAAACCGGTCGAGGCGCTGCAGCGTCCATTTGCCACCCTCCCCAGTCACGGCAGCGCCGCCATGCCAGGAGGCACAGTCCACCGCTCCGCTGCCAGGAAGCCGCGTCCAGAAGGCGACGCACAGGCCCTGTCAAAAAGAGTCCCTTGCCCCAGGAAATCATTGCATTTGTATATACATCAAATGTTGTTTACTTATTAACTTTGTTTAACTTCATTTTATATAATGCGTATCTTTGTTTAACATAAATGGTTCAGCGTTGTGAATCCCTCCCCCCCCCCTGCAAACGGTCCTGGTCAGAACTAATAAACCATTTGGTCAACACGGCACACGAGACAATGGGTATGTGTATATATATATAATATGTATAATATGTATGTATGTATGTATGTATGTATGTATGTATGTATGTATGTATGTATGTATGTATGTATGTATGTATGTATGTATGTATGTATGTATGTATGTATGTATGTATGTATGTATGTATGTATGTATGTATGTATGTATGTATGTATGTATGTATGTATGTATGTATGTATGTATGTATGTATGTATGTATGTATGTATGTATGTATGTATGTATGTATGTATGTATGTATGTATGTATGTATGTATGTATGTATGTATGTATGTATGTATGTATGTATGTATGTATGTATGTATGTATGTATGTATGTATGTATGTATGTATGTATGTATGTATGTATGTATGTATGTATGTATGTATGTATAGACAAACAGAAAGCTCTATAATGATGCAATGTAACACACACCCACACACACACACACACTCCGAAGTGAACAACTAGCAACACGAACAGGATATCCAGCATGTTGGGAGTTGACACATACCCATAAATCGGGTGTTTAGAGGCATATTCATATATTATATTAAATTCTTTTGAAGGACCTCCACGCAAATCTGGGAAGCCTCTTATCCTATCCTATCTGGTCAAGGCTTTGCCTTAAATGCTTCTCAATCTCATGGTTGGATGACCTCAGCAAACCAAAGCCACCCTTTGGAAGGGTCTAACTTTCACACACACACACACACAACGTGCCTGACTGTGATCATCTAGCCCGCTCAGTCATCTCGCGGAAAGGCACCCCAGAGGATGCCGCCTTTGAATATCAGTTATGGCCACGGATATGCCCTGCTGGTTTTTGGATCATTCTGCGAAATATCGCAGGTGTTCCAGGCTGAATATATCGCCCGTTTGGGTGGAATATGTTGACTAAGTTGCTCTGAGAAACTCAGTGCATTTCTGCACGGGCACACGAATCAGCAGCTGCCGAAGTGGACACCCGCAATGGCCTCTATTCACTCTGGCACCCCACGAGTCCTTCGCGGTTTCCCGAAACAAGACATGGGCTGGGGAAATTCAAGGGAACACCACCGTTCTTGGGCTCAAGTGGAACCGGGGTCAACGTCCCACTCGTCTGGCCCCCAGCTCGCCTCACGGGGCGCCACAGCAAGCCCGGGCCTGAGCGGGCTGATGCTGGCCACAGTTTCCTGTAGGGCTCCCTGAGTTTCCTGTGGGTAGGGGATGGATGGGTGGGTGGAGGTGGGTGGGTGGAGGTGGGTGGGTGGGTGGGTGGGCGGGGGGGTGGGTGGGCGGGGGGTGGTGAAAAAGAATTAGTAAAAAGAATCCCAAGACCACTTGTTGATTTGGCCAGGGTGATGTTCCAAGCCACCCCAGGGGAAATAAGAAGCCTGTGTGAGAGGCCCAGTGGGGTCTCCCTCGCCCATGACCCCAACTAATCTGTGCCCCGCAATGATACATGCACCGCACCCCCAAATTGTTCAAAATTGCAATTGCCGAGTAAGGAATTCAAACTGCAGAAATCTAAGTCATTTTTTGGATTTGCACTGGTTTCGATTTGATGTAAAAGTGGTGTAATATCGTATTAGTATGGGTTTAGTTTGGTCTTGGCCTAGCATTGCCTCTAAAGTGTCACCTATGATAAGACTGGACTTGCAGGAAACAAAAAGAGTTGTTTCCATAGGGCAAATTCACAATGTTGCCATGTAGTCCAATGCACACGTCGAAAGCCAAATCAGCCAAAGGGGCTGCCTTTCAAAGTGGCCCGAAGGAAGGCAAATGGAGCTTACATTGGAACCGATCTGGTCCTCAGCACTGGCAACCGGCAAGAAGCTCATTCCTAGCATGGATCACCCTTCAGAAGCTATACCACTGTGCTGCATGGTAACACCGTGAGAAACGAATCATGTGGAAAATAACGGGCTTGAACGTTTTACAGTTAGTGCATTTGTCCAAGCCAACTCTCAACTTATTCCAGCAAGACATACAAGACTGCAGCCTGCCGAATTGAATCGAAAGTCACCCCAGCGTCCACGCAACGAGGAAGTCCATCACTTGGATCAACGTAACGCTACAAGGAACAGCAGCACACACGTCTGTCATCTAAATCAGGCGAAAGAAGCTTTGCCAGTCCTACTTACCGTACTTACAGGGGTACTTCGGTTGTGGTTGTTTACCATGCTTCTAACCCAGTTGCCAATGGTTGTAAAGAGGGTTGTCAGCGTTACAAACCACTTGCCAAGTAATGTTGACCCCATATTAATCAACCCCAGTTGATCAATTGGGTGTCCCAGGGTTTGGTGGGGAGTCACCACTTTTGGAGGGGAACACCCCCGTACTAACAAACAGGGGTTCATTAATATGGGGTCAACACTACCGCGCAATGCCAAATGCAAGCGCAGTCGCCTGGCACTCTCCTCCACCAGCGCTTTCTGCGCCAGAACTTCCCCTCGCGCCAACAGCTGTTCAGCCGCCTCCTGTGCCAGGGCAACAAAACAAACACGCGTCCCACGTCTAGCTTCGATTTGCCTCTTTTGGCGTGGAACGGTTTTATGAAGGCCTGAGAATGGTGATCCACAGTCCCCAAGGGTTGAAACACATTCCGAGCGACCCCTATCCAAATATTTTCACTATGCCGCATGCGTAAATTCGCATGTACGGCTGTATAAGCAAGGCGCCAATCCAATCGGCGCTAGCGTGAATCATACTTGAACCTGTAGAGTATCTACAAAGTCATACAATCTGAAGCCAGGGCCTACTCTCCATGCTACAAATCCAAAGCTGTCCACCAGTTTCAAGCGATTTCAGCAGCCATCAAACTAGTTGATGTGCGCATGCATGTGAACTCTGATATAATCAATCAGTCTAGGTATGTGGTAGCCAGGTGTCTGCGCAGCGTAAGGCCCAGCACTTTCTTCCAAGATCGTCGAATGCATGCTTCAACTTCGATTCTTGGCAACACAACGCACGCCACACATGTCGTAAATCCGCCCCAGCATACTCTGCAAACACCAGGGAATGGGCTGACATCCATATTTGGAACAGACCCATCGCTCGGAGAACACGTCCAGGAAAACCCAATGGTACTTGTACTTCCTGGTACAACTGTCACTTGCTCTCTTCTTCGTGTTTGCGCTCTTGTTGTGGCGGCTATATGGGTCTTCATGCAGCATCTCCCCTTCAGTCCCAAGTACTCAACCCACCTTTGATTTGGAAGCTTCAAAAGCGTGGGTTCCTACTCATCACGGTGGGACACCACTGCAATAAGGGAAACCGCCATCCGAATCTGGCAACAGGATTGAGGATTGCGTCTGAACAACCCAAACAGAACACTTCAAATGTATGCCTGAGGGCCCCCACTACTTCCGAGCGATCCGACCCGATTGCCTGGAGGTGACTGTTCAGGGCCGGACCGGTATGCTGCAGGTTGGCGGCAAGCAAGGTGTCCCCCAGGTGCGTAACCTGCATGGAGATTGAAAAATACACTGACCAGCATTGTATTGGGCGGGGCTTGTTTAGCAAGCAGCTTTCGTTTGAGTGGAATGCACTGGTTGCGAGACATATCAATGCCTGACGTGCTGGGTTGACTGGCTAAGCAACAGTCAGTTTTTTCAGCCACTCACAAAAACACAAAGGAATCCAGGCAGCAAAATGTTTAGAGTTTGCAAACTCAGCCGTGGAATGTAGAATAAAATGTGTATATATATATATACATATTATAATATATATATATAAATACATATATATATATATATATATATATATCCCACACACAAATATGATCATATCTATAGAGCATTGACACGTCAGTGCAAGCAATCAACAAACCATGACAATTACGGCCATCATTTCGGCACAACACCTCAAACAGCACACCCTCCTGCCTCCAACACAGGGGGACATGGGTGTTGGTCTAAACCCCGCTATCGAACACACCGGCATTCTGTTCAATAAGTATTGAACGGCAGCCCTTGTTCAATAGGTATTGAACAGAAGCTGCGACAGCTGCAATAGAACATACCGCACGTGTATCTCAAAGCTCCTCAACGCTAGCGCCAAGCTTGCGCCACCTGTAGCAGCGGTAGCAGTAGTACCGTAGTAGTAGTAGTAGTAGTAGTAGTAGTAGTAGTAGTAGTAGTAGTAGTAGTAGCAGCAGCTGCAGCAGGAGTAGTAGTAGAAGTACTAGTAGTGGTAGTGGTAGTGGTGGTGGTGGTGGTGGTAGTGGTAGTGGTAGTGGTAGTGGTAGTGGTAGTGGTAGTGGTAGTGGTGGTAGTACTAGTAGTAGTAGTAGTAGTAGTAGTAGTAGTAGTAGTAGTAGTAGTAGCCAGCAGTGGCGGCTCTGGTGTCCACCATGGCAATTGAGCGGTACTGAGTGGGGATTGAAACGGGTGTTGAACCCCGATAGGTGAGCCCTGCCTCTGAAGTTCGGGATATGATTTCTGCGCGCCGGAGCGTGCGTGAGGAAGGCACTGAGCACACATACTTACGCTCACCGGGGTACAAATTCTATTGGCTGCTCGGGAGTGGAAAGCTCTGCAACCGATCTCCCAAAACACTTGATGATCAAGGGGCATTTCACGAAAGGTGTGCCTGGAATAGCCCACGCACATCAGGCTTTTCACTCACAGCCACAGGATGATTCTGAACTGGCCAGATTTTGTCCGTCACTTCGAGTAGAATGCCCCAACAAAAAGACTATGATTGTTTACCGCTAAAAAGGTCTTCGCAGGTACAATGTCCAAACTGGGCGCTTAATCGCGGAGTCTACAAGCACTTTTGACCTATCCATCCCCATCTGGTTCCTTTTCAAACACAAACATGTGTATTGCCAGTGCTTCATTTGGCATTGCCAACGCTGAATCTTCGATGTCCAGTGCTTCATTTAGTATTGCCAGTCCTTAATTCAAATCATAGCCTGCTTAGCCCGAAGCTGTGTTGCTCTTCCTGAGCAATCGATCGACCACCATTTGTTTCCAGAAGCTCTACGACCGAAGACCCGCCTTGGAGCCCTTGGTCTGTGCCAAGGGAAAGAGCGTATGCCCGCCCTGGCGGTAGTCGAGTGTTCAGGCCGGGAAAGAAGTCTTTGTTTGTGAGTTGCTGTAAAGAGAAACCAAAGAAAACTGCAGCCATTTAGGGGGTACAAATCCCTATTTTGACAGATACGGTATACACACTTTGTCTTGTCAAAGGAACATCGAAGGACATCCACCTGATTTCATGCAGTTCTCGCTTGATTTTGCTCGGGGGTGTTCCATGTCGGGGGACGTTGTCCTTCTCTTCTTGGCTGATGACAAAAATATTTATGAGGGCTCGACATTATCTTGCTTCCCCCACCCTCGCGTTTCTTGTGTTGGCGTGTCTCTCGATTGAGCATCGCAAGGCCAGATTATGCAACGCGGCGTGCCGGCTGGGCACGCAAGAAAGAGAATCTCTCTCTCCATGCAACTATGTTCCAGCGATTGGACGAGTGATGTTAATACAGTCTGGTCTTCCTGACTTTGTGCGGTCCACTTTTCTGGCAAGGTGCATCAGCAAGAAATGTGCAACATCTGCTGATATTGTTGAAATTGGCACGATTGATGTAGAGCTGTGCTTATCTGCGTAACCCCCCCCCTCCCCTCCCCGCCCTTTTGGGGTTGTTTTTATGGGCACATCCACAGGACTCCCTCCAATTTGGGGTCCCCCGATTTTGCACACTGCATTCTCACCAACCTGATCTCAAACTGCTGGCATAAACCAGAAATAGACTCTCCTGACCGATGGTAAAGCAATCAGATTCATGAACAGGAATTAAGAAACATATGGGCAAACACATACATCACAACTCAAACGGATCCTTAGACAATCTCAAAGGTGGGAGATACAGTAGGGCGGCCAACAGGGATGCGTTGTGTGCTTAGCACAGGAGCCTTTGCCGCATCACTCTGCCCACGCTGTTGCCATGGTCTGCTCACATGCAGTCATACACCTCTGGTAGTCTGGCTCAGTTGCCACAACAGGTGGGATTTGACTGGGACCCCTCCAGGTGACGGGCTTCCTTTTGCTTTCCCCAAGCCATCCAAAAAAGCCTCTGCTCCATTTTTCTCGGGACATTCCCAGAGTGAACTCTTCCGAACTCCCAGGCCTGGTGAGCTGGCGTGGTCTGCAGGTAAATGATGAACGTCAACCAGCGCTTCTCTCCTCTGGCGGAGAACAAGATACAAAACCCCATGGTGGATCCGGGTATCTTGTGGCATTGGAAGCCAAAAGGACGACCTTCAAAGGCGGAGTCTAGCCTTATGGTCAGAAGGCTGTGGGTTCACAATATGGGTCAAACGGCATTCGAACTGTTTATAGTTACGAATTTAAAGGGACCCTCCGAGAGAAAGGAACATCAAAAAACCAATAAGAAGCTGGCAAGGCTTTGGAGCCTGGAGACGCAGGAAAAGGATGCTCTGGCTGACATGCCCTCAGCTGTGTCCCGATGACAACACAACGAAGCAACCCCTCTGGGCTGTCGACCACACGGCAGTGTGTGAAGTTCTGGACCCTCCCAAATGGTCGACTTTATGTTGATTCCCTTTGAAAGTATGCGGGCTGCGTAGGATAGTTGATTACAAACTCCCAGTCAATCCTGAACTTCTACTGCGGCTCGTTGTTTACTGACCGTGATGCTGATTGCAACAGACTCTGCAGGCGGTTCATGTTGATCATCTGATAAGCCATCTTTCCAGTAATCATGGAAGCGGCCTGTCTTCCAAAACTTTTGCGTCAGCTGCTACAATGGAAGGAGGGTATGACGCAGCGAGCTCCCGGCGTAAAGCGTGCAGATCTCCACCCCATACTGCCCTAGGCAAAGGAAACAAGTCTGGCCAAGAAACAAACAGTGACAAATCGCGCTGTCCTTTTGCGCTTTGGAGCGGGAACCTGCCATCAATGTCAAATAACTGTTGAATGTGACGTTCAGATCATCACGTTGTCGCCACATCCCTGATCGATGGTGTGGGCTACGCGCTTCTACAACCAGAACCTGGGTTCTAACTCCCCGAACCGAGCAAACCACCGGCAAACATACTATATTTTTTCCGGAGCTCCACATAAGGAAACTTGGCGATTTGCCCAAAACTGAGGGGGTTTTGGAGGTCGATGTTCGACCGACTGCAGCTCAAGGGGCTGGTATTGTTCGTGTCCAGGTGCAAGCCAAGGTTTACTCGCTTCTCCGGCTCCTCCTCTGCCTTAGCTTCTCTTTAAAAAGCCCATGCCACCAAGGGAAGAGAGTTGGGACACTGGAACACCTAAGAAACCAATACCAATTTTCCGCCCTTGTGCTTTGGACGCTGTTTTAGAGTTCGGAGCAGCTTGCCAAGGGGCAACGGGAACCAACAGGTCACCGCCTCTTGATATCGCCGCGCCATTTTGCCACAGAGGCGTTAAGGATGTACTTTGCCTCTACGTTGCTCTCGAAACACCGGCACCGTTACTGTGGACCTGAAATTTCGTGGGTAAACAGTTGAAAAGGGTGCCACTGAACAACTGGGCACGCGTGATGCAATGAAGCCATCAACAGCTTGCATTCGCTCTGTCTACGCTGGAGCGGACTTCTTAGCTTCTCAAACTCCAGTGCTCGCCAATACACTTAGAGTCCGTGGACCAATAGCCCTTTTCGTCAACTTTTCACCCCCCCCCAGCTTGCTGATTGTGCCGAATGTGATAGCTCATAGCATGGCATACTGACCACTGAATCGGCCGGAAAGTGACAGTGATACTAGATATGTACATATATATATATATGTATATATATATATAATTATAATGAAGTTAGTATATACCGAATCAAGGGCAAACAGTACCTTGCTTGAATGGGAGGTGAGGGGCAGCAAGGAGCTTGGGAAGGCAAGCCATCGAAAGGCTGTGAGCCTTGCAAGTCCAGATTGCGACGGTTTGTCTCGGGGGTTCGTGGGAAAGTCAAGGGGCGCTGAGGGTTTCTGCGCGGAGCCCAAGTCAATTTCACAAAAGTTCCGGCCAAAAGGCAAGGCCTGCCTGCTTCCATGTATGAGACATGGCCAAGGGCTCTAGTGGGACGCACTTGTTGTTGATCTTTGGCTTGACTGAGGTAATTATAACTTCCATTGTAGCACTTGCAAATGCCGAAAGAGACGGTTGTTCTTTAGTGCTTTCTCCTGCCTGTGTCGCCTCCTCTATGCAAATCAAACCTTGTTTTTTGCTGGGCACGCGCGTTTCTTTGCCGACACCAGATTCGTATGTTATGCACGGTAACTTCCAGAAACCGGATTGGATGCGTTTCTGTGGATTCCCCGTGTGTTCCCGCTGGTCCATCTTTTAGTACGCCTTTTTAGTACTCTGTTGCTATCCTAAAAGAGTGGATCCGAGAAGAAAAAAAAGGAGGAAGAAACAAAAAGAGGGAATAACCACATTCCAGCCAATCCGAGAGGCGCCCGGGGTGAAGTGTACTGCCCAGGGCATTTCGCCTCAGCGGTTATGCAAAGCTTGTGCATGCATTGAAGCATACACGTGCGACCCATGTGTAGATATTTATATATATATATATGTATATATATATATGTATACATGCATTCATATATATATATATGTTGCATTAGCTATGTCTGCGTATGTACATATCTACATGATCATACACTCTGGATGATTTAAGTGCACCTGCAGCATCATGGGTGAGGTCGCCCCCGTTAGGTCGGTAGAGTTGCCAAAAGATCCCGCCTTAGACCCCCATCACATCGAACTACCGGAAGGCAACTGTCAAACAAGCCCCTCGCCAAGCTTTGGCTTCTCCAGTCAACTCCGGCATGTCAACAATCAACACATTGAAACGTCCCTGGAGAAATGTGGCGACCTATGCACAGCAAACCTGATAGCACAGTACTGTGGCCCCCTGTGTGGACCCTGGTGTTGGCCAGACAAGGGCTTATCTGGTTGGGGTTTGTGTTTTATTGAGGGTGCCCTTACCAGGTTCGTTTTAAAAGGGAAACCAACAGAACACACTATTTGTTGGGTCCCCCTTTGACACATACCATACACATAGCCATGTTGAAAAAAACCCAAAAGGCTAAGGCGGATGATTACGATAACAAGTCCCAAGAGAACTATAAGAGCACGTACCACCGAAAACGATTGGGTGGATAATACAAAAGAAAAGGCGCAAGGCGAGCTCTGTGGCTTTTTTGCTCCTGACAATCCGGCAGGACCTCTAAAATTCCCCGACCTTCCAATCAAGGCACATTTAGCATCACTCGGCATGCAGGATGAGAAAGTCGCCCCATTATACACTTGTGAATCCAAAACCCCCAGCCACGGGAGGAAACAGGCACCCTTTTGGGGGTTGTCTTGGAAGGGCAAGCCCCTCAAACAAAATGTCAAAAAGAGGCACCACTGCAGGTCTGGGTACAGGCTTGAAACCCCTTACCAACTATGCCCATGAAAAAGTAGAAGCCCATGCTAAACGCAACGTACAGGGTTTGTAGACGGTTTTGGTCGCTGCTCCGAACCATATATTCAAGATAATCGGCACAGCTGGTACGAACCCTCAGTGTCTTGTTGTTGAATCATATAATGATGGCTTGATGGAACAGCCAGCCCCAAAGTCCATACACGTTTCTTTATGTGGATGGCAAAGCACTAAACACCAGGTTGCTCCAAGCATGAAACCGAAATAGACATTGAAACTTTCGATTATTTAAACCCAAAGATAGATAAGGGGTTTTTAAACCACTCTACTCAGTTGGCTTTTAACCCAGCCTCCGGCCCTCCGCCATTTTCCGGCCGACCGGCCCAAAGCGAGCTGAGGCGCCCGGGTGCGCCTTGAGGCCGGACAGCGCTTCTATGCGGCGCTCAATGGCTCGCAGCACTGCGTGGTCGCCGCCGCCTGCCCAAGCCAGCCAGATTTCCGAGGCCCGGGGGAAAACTGATCTGGTCATGCATTCCAGCCGAAATCCCGTACCCCCAATGGGTGGTGCACCTACCCCAAAATTTGACCCACAGCCATCTCAAAGATAGCCCATATTGGTTTTCTCGAAGGAACGCCTGAAATCACATGTTGCATTAGTCTTGTAAGCCATGCAAAAGGGCTCCATCTTTTTGAGGCATCCCGAAATGGTTGAGCATCATCTGATGGCTGCAATGTTCTGGGTGAGCTCCCTCAACGCAAACCTGGGTTGGGGGGTTAAGGTATGGATGTGGTGTCAAGGGGACTTTTCAATTGAACCATTTTGAGGAAGTGTGGGGTTGCCGAGTTTGGACCGGAGGCTGGAACGATGAGAAGTGGTTCCTGGGCCTTCAAGCCTGACAAAGCAAAGAACCGTCCAAACCAACAAAAATGAGAGTCCACTTGCTCCTGGCCGGTAGCAGCTCAGCCAATGACGGATTATCAGCATGGTCGCACTGGTGTGGGTCCCCATTTCGCGGCCCACAGTTTTCCATTGGAACAAGGGACGATGGACACGGGTCTATAGAATCATGGATGGTAGGGCGTGTAATTTATTGTGCCTGATGCTGCCGAACGAGCCGATGCCCATCCCTTCTTGAACAATGCCCAGTTGCACAAAACTAAAAAACGCCATCCATCTGAAAAAACATGAACAAAGGTCTTGATCCTTGAGCAGCATTGAAGAGACATACCATCAACACACTGCTGCGAATCCACGATGTCTTTATCACCCACAAGTCCAATCTAAGCCCTTAAGGACACGATTCCCGAGTTGGAAACGTCGGTAAGCATTGGACGTTTGACGTTGGACTGATTGTGATCAGCAAGACAACTAGCCAATGTTCCTCGCTTAGCAGGGACAACCCTCGACCAACTGAAAGGGGTGGGCGAGAGTTCATCTCGGGTGCTTCCTTTTGGGTTCCCTTTCAAACCGTCCCAAAAAGGATACCCTGAAATCCCTGAAAAGCACATTCCTAAAAATGAAGCTCTTCTCCCCCCGCCCCCCCAAACACCAGGGTCCCACAGTCAGCGCCTGGAGTGATCTCCAGGTCGACCCGCATCTTGGATGAGCACTGCACCGGGATGTTGACCTATGGGGCTTCTCGATGCCCGCGAAGTTTGCAAACCAGAAGCCAGCAAACATGGACAAAAACCCGTCTCCATAACCAGGGAAACATGAAATCAACATGAGAATAACACAATATCCATAATCAGAAACCCTTCCAGGCAAAGTGCGATAGTTCACCAGAACTATACCCCCAAGAAAGGAACCCTCACGGCTGAGGTCGCACCCCTCCCCCCTTATTCAGTGACACCGCGATAATTTGCCCAGGCGAAAGGCCAAGGTAACTCATCAGAGCCGATAAAGTCAACAAGCCATGAGGCATCCTTCAACACCTGCAATAGGCATCTTTGTGATTCGTGGGTCCCTTGCTCCAAAGTTGGGCTAAACAAATAACCAACTAAATAAACTTACAAGTAAATCTAGAAATAAAGGTGTGGCTGGGAACCGCCAAGGTATACACGCCCCTTTCAGGCAGGGTGGGGGCCATGTTGTTTCCCTAAATGATCATTGCTTCTAGGCCAGACTCACGAAAATTGATACTGTCCGGTCGAAAGGGAAAGCGAAGGAACACTGAACGACCAAGCAATAAAACGGCAAGCAACGTCGAGTTGTTTCTTGCTTCCAGGGAACAAGCCGTCACATCTGAGGGAAGGCAACAGCCGGGCTAAACATTCCTCTTCTAGCCACAGCTTGAAATGGTTCATGCTTAATCCACTGCAAGAACAAGCTTCAGAAAGTTGGCGTTCACTACCAGTGAGTAGAGTTTTGTTGGGTGCATCGGCCCTATACACTGTCAGCAATGCCTACGAGGACCTCCGCGGGTGCGTAAAGCCATGGCAACCGTGGAAGGGTGCCTACGCAGACTTTTCTCGGGTGTGCAAGGCAAAACACGCATACGCGCACCTGCCTACGCCGGATACTCTTGAACAGGCTACGCGGATTGCCGACTCGATCTGTGCTGTGCCTCCGCGCATAAAGAGAGTTCCTCCCAATACTAAGCGAATACGCAACAAAAAACAAACACTGCTCGAGTGTTGTTTGATGCTTTGCCAGCATGCTTCGTGATGATAGCCATGATTTTCAGACCCTGGCCCAAAGGCGGAACGATACCACTTGCCGGCTCTTTCCGCGCGACCATCCCAAGTCTTGTGAAAGGCGAGCCTCACCCATGTTTCTTGCCCAAAGCACTGCTGGGCGAACAACTCTCAAATGATGCCAAACAAGGCAACAATTTCGATAGTAGCGCTATGGGCAAGGGAGTCAACCTCCAGTGGCCATAGCAAAGGACACGTTGTGTTTGTTACTTGAGCTTGAAGGGGAACCCCCTCCCAAAAAGTATAAATATGGGGAGTTGGTCAGGGAAGAGGGACAAACAAATCCCATCCCCAAAACCATCAAATCCTCAATTATGTACGAATCTCCTCCTGGGGGGCCCTTTTGGCGTTCCATGGCAATTTGTAGGGGAGCAAATCCAGATTTCCCGAAACTGGGAAGCAACAGGAACAATAAATCACCCGCCCTATCCTCCATAATTGCAGTAGATGCTGCCTGTGTCAATCATCCGTTGTTCCTATGGAAAACTGTGGGCCGCGAAATGGGGACCACACCCAGTGCAACCATGCTGATAATCATCAGCCATTAGCTGAGCTGCCAACGGTTGTTGTTTTTTTGGCTTGGACGGTTCTTTGCTTTTGTCAGTCTTGAAGGTCCAGGAACCACTTCTCATCATTTCAGCCTGCGGTCCAGACTCAACCCCACACTTGCTTTACCCCCCCACCCAGGTTTGCGTTGAGGGAACTCACCTATAACATCGGCAGCCATCAGGTGCTGCTGAACCATATGCCCCCCCCTTCAACAATTTCGGCGCGGACCACTCTGTCCACTTCCAATGCTGGACAAATGGTAGGGCCTAGATCATTGAAATGGGGTTGTGGGAGACTTTGAAGCCAAATGAAATCTTCAAACAGGAGAAACATGTGCAACTATTTGGCTCTTATTATGGGTCAAAACAAGTTCACCTGTTGGTAAACCCTTTGCCCACCTCACTTCCAGAGTGGATGGGCCAAACAAAGCCTAGACTTTTTGCCTCCCACCAAAATATGGTCTCCCAAAAAGTACAAAGTCCAGGAACTCAGGAACTGAGCAACTCAAAAGACATAGAGACACACACACATACCCAAACATGGCTGCGGGTCAAAAATGGGTACCCAAAATGGAACCCTGGCAAATGGAACCAAGGAGCAAAACCTGTGGTCGCCTGGTTTAATTTTGACCCACACCCATATGAGCCTAGGGTAGTGGATTCTTCGATCGATTCTCGCCTCTGCGAGGCGGCGGATGGCCAAACACTCCTCCGGCGTGAGGAAGGAGTCGCAGGCGAAGATCTGAGGGCGGCGGCCTGGGAATGTCCCGATATGGCCATGGGTCAAAACTGGGTTAGCCCCCAGTGAACATGCCGATCCCCACTAAAATAGGTTCTAAAATAGGTGCACCTGGCCCAAAATGGTACCATTGGTTTTGACCCACAGCCATATCCACCTGCAGAGGGTGCCCTCTTGGGACGGAAAGGGGAAACTCGTGGTGTGTCTCAAAATCCAAGAAACTGAGTGGACTTCCATGGGGAAATCAATTGGCAAGGTCTTAGAGTCTAGGCCCCAAGCTAGCTGCACCGTCGGTTGGTTTCAAAGTCAAAGAACCGGGTCCTTCAAAGTAAAGATCAAGGGCTTCGAGGAACTACTTTTGGGTCCCTTGCCGCCGTTTAGCTCGAGGAAATTCGAGGAGCTGCCATCGGGGCAAGGGGCGGTGTAAGGCATCAAGATTGAAGGCTCAGACCCAGGGTTGCTCCAAAAGAACTCTGGCAGGCTGCCCCCAAGTAGTAGTGGATGGCACTATTCTCTTGCCCCCCTATGGGAAAAGTATTGGAATAGCTTAGCCAAAGGCCCATGAGGAGGTACATTATTTCACCCAAATTTGGACCCTGCAGGCGGTGACCCTTGGTTCTGAGGATCTTGCTCCGTTTCGGGGACGGCTTCTGGCCGCTTGCTTCTTTTTGTTTTTTTTTTTCTCGCGCGCAAGGCGGGCGCTCATGAAAAAAACCGAACCCAACCAAACATGAGTTTCATGTCAAGACAGGCCCTCTAAAAAAGTGGGTTTGTCTTATAGAAAAAATACCCCCCCCCCCCCAAAAAAAAAAGGAGTTGGTTTCCTTTTGGATTCTCTTTGAAACCCAGACAGGTTGGAAGCTGTGCCATCCAGACGTGGCGTATGAAGCGCCAGGGCACACAGCAAGCGCCAGGACGCCTCGCGTACTGGCACGCCGTCAGCGCTCATGGCGCCATAGCCAGCCACACTCAAAGACTCAAAGAGCTGCCCGCAACGAAGAGTGAGACTAGGTCCTCCAGCAGAGAGGTTATAATAAGGGTACCTTTTTCTCTGTAGTCTATTTTAGTAGGGGAACCCTCCCCCCTTAAAGGGTAAAAGGGCACTACCGCGGGACCTAGGAGAAGACTAGAAACTACCAAGTCAGCACAAACGATAGATTAGTCTGCGTGCTCATTACTTGTATCACACAAACATTGTTTTTTGCTGTGATTGTGAAGGCCCATGAACACTACGTTTGGTCATCCCTAAAAGAGGCGGAATATTATATACCATCTACAGGGGGATGCCCAGTTCTGGCGCAAGGAATACGCTGGCACCCGCTGCTTTATGGGTTGCTCCCCACAAAGGGACAGCCTAAAAACAAACTGGGTAAGTGATTCTCGCCGCTCCGTGGAACTGAGGGAAGCCCCAATCATTTGCCGCGACATGGCAGCTTCCGTGGGCAAGGATCATCTTCCGTACACTACCAGAGTCATGAGACTGAGGTTGTGGGGTAAATGAATGCCAAGTCTAGTCATTATAGGAGTATACCATTATGTCCAAAACAAATCACCCCCAGTATTTGATCAGCTCCTCGTAGCCAAAGGCTGCAAAACTGAGCGAAAAGCCCACGCAACACCCTTTCTCCGATGGGTTTGAAGGTACAACAAGAGCTTGACATGGTCTCTTTGCAAATCATACCTTGTCCCAACAAGCTAACATGAACCTCCCACAGGATTCCCCAGGGTACACCCCCTACCTTCGCTGCGTTTCAGGTTTTGCATGAGACACGATTTCAGGTGGCAAGTGAGGATATGCCGCGGTTTGCTTGTGTATTTTGGAGTTGCCCCACTTGCTCCAACCGAACATTCTTGACCTCCCAGGCATTCTCACAGCCAAACACGACAACGGGCACTGGAGGTCTAGGTGGTAAAGCCCATGCTACCAACTGAGCAAAAGGGAAGAACTGTGTGCTGTGTGTGTGTGTGTGTGTCTCGCACATAACAGAATCACTGTGCTCCAACCTACTCCGCTCTCAGCTCCCAAGTTATCACCCAACGCAAGCGCATCCGAAAACAAGCTGCATCGACCAATTCTTCCAAGCACCTGCATACGTGCAGAGTCTCGGGGTGAAAGCACGGTCGAAGGGATGCTTGTTCCAAATGCAAAGCTGGCCATCCAGCCGATTGAGACAAGCAACGCCCCATCCCTCACATGTAAGTGATCTGCATAGGCTCAAAATGAACCCCTGGCGACTTACCTTCTGCTTAGGATGTGGGCATGTTCACCTTGGCAATCAAAAGACCTTTCAAAAGACCTTTCAAACGATCCGAAAGTTTCGCGCTTCAAACGCATTTCCCTCTCAACAAACTCAGTCCTCGTCCCGCTCCGGATCCATGCCTTTATCCGCCTGCTTTCGCGCCAAGCGCTCCTGTCGCCCAGAGGAATCTAGTTGCTTACAGGACTGCATGCATGAGCTTGTCTTGGCGATGTTTGCAGAATAATAATATTATTGTCATTGCTATGTTCATTATTAGTGCTATTAATTGTTTGTATTATCATCATTCCTATGATGATTACCAATACTATCATAGACATAATGTGGCTGGTGCACTTGAAAATCCGGAGTTTACAGGCTTTGTCTGTGGTGCATATATATATATATATATATATATATACACATGTATGCATGGATTGTACATAATACATATTGTATATCCAACCTGCAGGTACAGTTATGTAGCACATGTGAAGGCTTGCAGAGCATGGGACGATGTCGCCTGCACTTATGGCTGCCAACTGTTCACGTGCAAACAGAGCAAATTGAAGTTCAGCGGAGCATAATGTTGAATTTGCTTGCTGAAGTTGCAGCTCGAAGACTTACCTTAACCCATTCAAAGGCTAAGTTGGGGCTCTGATAATGCGCCAACACAGGAAACAAATGCAAAGATGAGCCTTCAGCTCTTCAGCTGAGCTAAATCTTGCGCAGTCTGCGGCTTTCATTCGCCTGCAGCATTTGGATGTACCGGCCAAAACATGGCGCATACATGATCACTCAGCGACCCTTCGTGTGCATTCCATTTAAGGCGCTGCAAAGCATGCAGGGGCCAAAATGGGTATGCTTTGCAATTGGTATCATTTGGGTGGGGTCTGGTGTCGCCCCACATTTTCTTCAGCATGACTAACTATCCCAGCACCTGCATCACCATGAAGGAGGGTTGGCTAAATCTAAGGCTCCTTGGCTTCGTCGATCTCCCTCTTCTTGGCGTTGGCCGCCATCTGGAGTCGGGGAGTCCAATCCGACGGATTCATGGCATGACCATGCTAGGCAAATGAGATCATAACCCAGAATGCCACCCAAACATGTATTTTCACCCCTTTTAGCTGCCTAGCCAGGTTTCAAACTAATAAAGCAGACGCAGCGGTTCTGTGTGTGTGTGGTGTCTGTGTGTGTGTGTTGTGTGTGTGTGTGGTGTGTGTGTGTGTGCGCGTGGTGTGTGTGTGTGGGGTGTTATGTTGTGGTGCGTCTCTGATTCTGCGTGTCTGCATGTCTGCATGTCTGCGTGTTTGCGAGTTTGTAGGTTGCCGTGTCCGTGTGCCTGCGTCGTGTCTGTGTGTCTGCGTGTCTGTGTGTGTGTGTGTGCGTGTCTAAGTCTGGGTGCCTGTGTGTCTGTGTGTCTGTGTCTCTGTGTGTCTGTTTGTCTGTGTGTCTGTGTGCTTGTCTGTTGTCTGTCTGTGTGTCTGCGTGTCTGCGTGTCCGGGTGCTGTGTGTGTGTGTGTCTGTGCGTGTCTGCATGTCTAGTTTTCTGCGTGTCTGTGTGCTTGCGTGTCTGTGTGTCTGTGCATCTCTGTGTGTGTGTGTGCGCGGGTGTGTGCGCGTGCGCGCGCGGGCTGGCAGGCCGGCGGGCGGGCGGGCGGGTGGGTGAAGGTGTGTGTGTGTGTGTGTTGTGGTGTCTGTGTGTGTGTGTGTGTATGTGTGTATGTGTGTATGTGTGTGTGTGTGTGTGCGCGTGCGTGCGCGTGCGCGTGCTTGTGCGTGTGCGTGTGCGTGTGCGTGTGCGTGTGCGTGCGTGCGTGCGTGCGTGCGTGTGTGTGTGTGTGTGGGTGCGTGCGTGCGTGCGTGCGTGCGTGCGTGCGTGCGTGCGTGCGTGCGTGCGTGCGTGGGTGTGTGTGTGTGTGTGTGTGTGTGTGTGTGTGGGGGTGCGTGGGTGTGGGGGTGTGTGGGTGTGCGTGTGCGTGTGCGTGTGCGTGTGCGTGTGCGTGTGCGTGTGCGTGTGCGTGTGCGTGGGTGTGGTGGGTGTGTGTATTTGTGCGTGTGCGTGTGCGTGTGTGGTGTGCGTGTGCGTGTGCGTGTGTGCGTGTGTGCGTGTGTGCGTGTGTGCGTGCGTGCGTGCGTGCGTGCGTGCGTGCGTGCGTGCGTGCGTGCGTGCGTGCGTGCGTGCGTGCGTGCGTGCGTGCGTGCGTGCGTGCGTGCGTGCGTGCGTGCGTGCGTGCGTGCGTGCGTGCGTGCGTGCGTGCGTGCGTGCGTGCGTGCGTGCGTGCGTGCGTGCGTGCGTGCGTGCGTGCGTGCGTGCGTGCGTGCGTGCGTGCGTGCGTGCGTGCGTGCGTGCGTGCGTGCGTGCGTGCGTGCGTGTGTGTGTGTGTGTGTGTGTGTGATTATGCTTATGCTTATGCTTATGCTTATGTTTATGTTTATATGTGTGTATGTGTATGTGTATGTGTACGTGTACGTGTACGTGTATGTGTATGTGTATGGGTATGTGTATGTGTATGCGTTTGTGTGTGTGTGTGTGTTTGTGTGTGTGTTGTGTGTGTTTATTTGTTTCTGTGTGTATTTGCGTGTTTGCATTTGTCCGATGTGAGAGTGTGTTTGTGTTTGTGTTTGTGCGTGTTTGGGCGTGTGTGTGTGTGTGAGCGCGCGTGCATGGGCGGTGGGAACATCTCCGATTTGAACGCCTAAACGTACTAGCAAAGCCCTGTCCGTCGGCTGGAGAGGCAAGAAAGAGCAGACTATGGAACAAGCGAATGCCAACAAATCAAACAGACCAGTCTGGGCAAACTACTGCTCACAAACGGAATAAGCAATCCCCAAGTAGAAGATCCTCATCCGGGATGAGCTCGTCCTACCGCCACCAAACGCCTTACCACCCGAATCTTGGGAACCTTTCCCCTTCTAACGGAGAGCAAAACAAAAACAAATAACACAGAGACGGGGTAACGATTACCCTCTACTCTTCCACAAAACCCAGCAACACCAAGACTTGGAATCTCAAGCCCACTCGCTCTCCCGCAGACCCAAATCAGGCAACCCTCTTCTCGCAACTTGGCGCCCGGGCCAGCGCGTCCTTCATCTCCGAACGCTTCTCCCGCAGCTCCTGGAAGTTGGATCCACTTGGCAGTGGGTTTCTGCCAAATTGTGTTATGTAGGGGGTCTGGAAAGATGACATTCACCCCTTTTCCGTTTCTGGGGTCATGAAAAATGGGTTGTTTGACTGGGAATGCCTGCTTGAAGGGAAATCATGGCTCCAAAATGTGTGCCGACAGATCTCCCACAATACGCTTCCATGGCACAACTCTCCTGAATCGAACACCGTTCGGCAACCAACCCAACACTGTTCCTGAGCCATAGCAAGGGGGAGCTCGGAAGCTGATGATCTGACTACCAAGATCCAAATGGCTCATGCTCCCGCGCCCTCGGTGACTCGGTGACTCGGTGGCTCGCTCGCTCCTGCCGATTCTGCTCGAAGGCATCTTCGAAGGCCTTGCCAAATGCTGAATGAAGGTGCTGATAAATATCCATGGGTGTGACTTTTTTGAGGGTATCTTTTTTGGTAGGTATTAAAGAGGAGCTAAACAAATACCAGATCAAAACATTGGAGCAGGCCACAAACCGGAACCCCTTTGCAAATGAACGACTGGCTGAATTTCAGCGCTCTTCCCATCCCCACAAACAGCTCTTCAATCAGGAGCCAAACTGCTCCGAAAAGAGTTAGGCCCTTTTCTTCTGGTTGACCGCGATTTGCAACCCATCGCGGCCTGCCCCTCCTTCGCTTTCCACTCAGCGAAGATTGCCTGGCGGCTTGCTTGGGAAGACAACAAGCCGTTTGGGGAGGCTCCTTGTCCATTGTTGGAATAAGGGTAGTCATAAAAAAAGAAGAAACAAACACTGGTTCTGATTCTTGCCAATATTTCTGGGGAGCGCACATGTGCTATGTCGGACTCCTGATATTCCTGTATCTGTGCAGCCATTTCAACGAATTCCATGTGAGTGCGTGTGTGTGTTTCGCAGCCAACCCCCTTGCGCACACCAAGAAGATCCAAGACGTATTTTAATGACCCCGTTAAGGAGATTTCAAGAGTGGATGCTTCCGTCTTATGGCTCGGAATGCCCCCTAGTAACCTTCAATCATCCTGCTGCTTGATGTTTGGCTCACAGTGCAAACCATGTGATGCACACTTCTCAGCCTTTCATTTGCCTGCCATCTTAACGGAAAACCATGTTTTTAAGTACACCTGGCCGCGTGGCAGGAGTAAAACCCTCCACAGTCCTCAGTAACCCAAGTCAAACTTGCTAACCCCAATGGCAACCAGTGACCAGGAGAGAAAGAGACGGGTTGACCATGGGAGACCGAATCCACCACACCAAAAACAAGTGTGACACTGAACAACAGGGCATTTCTATAACGTGTAAATAAATCATGGTCATGCCCCTTACCCATTCAATGTTGGCCCCGGAATTTAAACCTAGAAGATTTATTGGGGGGGTCTTCAAAGGTTTACGATCTCCTCGAAAAAGGGACAAGCACAGTGAATAAGCCAGAGGTCTACAAATGAACCCGATGGTCTACACAATCAACAAACTAGGTGAGATCCAGTTAAGACCGCCCAACCGGAGAAGCGACCAGGATCTAGAAACCACAAGGGATGGTTTCTGGACCGCACATAAGGTTTTGGCTGGGACCATTCCCCGTTAACCTTGCCATGACGAAAATTGCCGGCCTGCTTGTCCGGAGGCCGTTCCGTTTCTGTCCGCTGCGTTCGCCTCAGCGAAAAGCGCGGTAGCTGAGCATGAGCCGCAAGAAGTTGCAAGTCACTTAAGAAAGAAACCTGGTGCAGGTCATGTGAAACGTATATCATATGTACAAATACATGTATACAATACATATTCATGCGTCATAGCCGAAATTCGGTGAATGGCAATGTGGCTCAATCCGGATGATGAGAAGTACGGAGTGGATATGTCGTGTTGACCAATATGAAAAAAACAACTCCCTAATACAAGGCTGTTCCAGAAGAGCAATACTGTTTACTGCTTGCTCCCCGATTGATACAAACCGCGAACCTACAATAAATTATCTAGATGGAGTTACAGGAGTGCAGCTCCACACATCATGAGACCCACTGAAAGAAGTCACCCTCCCCCCCCCCCGCATTTATCACCATGCTGCATCCTATCACTTGCTTCCCCAGGGGCCCAAGGGTCTCCTCTTTTGCAGATCTTCTGATCCCGGGTTTTCGGGATCCCGCCCCAACAAAAGCCTCCCCAGAAAAGGGCCGCGTCCGAGTCGCTCCGCAGGTGCGCCCTCTTCCTCTTCAGGACCTGGGCCCAAGGGCTGCAGCGACTATGGATTGAAGCTGGTGGCTTGCAGGAACGTGTGTTTCCGCAGTGAAGGAGGCCCTCTATACCAGGGCGGACAACTGTTGTCTACCGGTGAATTTTTGTGAGGCTCAGGCTGATTTGCCAAGGTTTTTGGGTTGGTGACGAGAGACCGTGATATTCGGGCGCGGGTGGCTCTGGGGCAAGCTGTCTCGTTGCAAAGGGTAAATTGAATGTTCGGTTTATGACTCAATGCCCCTCAAAGCGACTGAATCTACGCCCTCCCAAGGTGTCCAGGCGGCTCGTGTCTACAGAAATCCTCCGACAAGGAAACACACCCGTGTCCTGCACAAATCCCGTTGGCCTGTGGGTTATCTGTTGACAGCATGCTCTTGATTGCCTTTGCAGCGGGTACGAAAAACCCGGCTGTTCAGTTTGCCGTCCAATTGAAGCGGCACCCCGGCCAAGCCAATCAGCACAGCAGATAAAAACATGGAATGCATGTATTCTCCACCATTGCTGTGTTTAACAGAGATCCTTTGACAAGATTCATCTGTGGTTCAAGCTTTGGCAATAAGCATCATCTGTGGTTCAAGCTTTGATTTTGGCAATAAGCAACGGAGCTGGTAAAGACCGATTCCGTCGGATGCGGCGGCGCGCCCCGAGCAGCAGGGGTTCTCGAATGGCTTCGGAGAACTGCATCAAAACAAAGCAAGCTTTCTTGGTCTCGGTGTCCAACCAGTTGTTCAATACTTGAGATTGACACACACCTCCAATGGTCAATTGAAACGAGGGGTACCTTTGTGTTGGAATTTGGTTGGTTGAAAGGGACCCAAATCCAAAAAAAAGACGGCCTGACAAAACACTCACTGGAGGTCTGGGTTGATTTCGCCCCATCCCGCAGCACGTCCAAAGAAGCGCGCCGGCGTCTGGAGGGAGTGCCTGCGGATCTGCCGGTGTCAAAAAAACTGGGGGGTGTTCAAATGGTACAAAGTGAGTAGCAGAATGAATTTCAAAAGCGTCTGTTGCTTAGAGATACAGTACTGAGGGGTGGCTTGCATTGTGGCACGTTCGTGAGACACTGTTGAACAAATGTGTATATGCCCCCTTGGTACATGCATGCATATGCATCTATACAACCAATATAGAATTGCGTATGAGCGCAAGGGTATTTCTCCACCGGCTCTGACGGCGTGTCGTGGATGTTCTTACGCATAGTCTCGGTTTGAGTTTTTGTGCCGTGTTGTAGGATGTCCTTGACGTCAACCTCCCCCCCTTTCCCCTCCCCCTTTCCCGCCCCCCCCCCCCTCCCCCCCCCCCTGTCCGAACACCAACACGGACAAGATCGCGTGCGTTTGTGCTTCAACAAGACTACATACAAGACAAACTGCAAGAAACGCGCGCACTTGCTCGCTGCTGCCAGTTTGCGGTCGGTGTGGACAAGGATCTCGCCAAGGCAGCGCACCTGATTGCGCGGCTGAGCCTGAAAAACTCCTTGGAGACGAAAGAGCTTCAGGCAGCTTGCTTCCAGACCTCTGTGCTTCCCAAAGCCAGCCCTTGCAGCAACCAAGCAGTATGCCAGTACGCAGACAAGGCGGAAAGAGGCCAAGGCCGGCAAGTGTGAACACCCACCAGGTGAGCCACATGTGCACGCCTGGGCTGCCCCGCAAGATGACTCGCCATGGAACGAGGAAGATCGGAATGCCATCGATCAGCACTGCTGGCTCGGCGTCGCGATGGAAGGAGAAGAACGTCTTCTTGCTGTCCCGGTCAAAGGCCTTGCGCACCTTGCACACATAGATCACGCCTGACATGGCAACCGGGTCAGTGGAGACACTTTGGCAGCCTTGACCAAGGGCCTGTCAACAGCGGCGCCAAGCCGAAAAGAGGCCAGGCTCCCCGATCTGGCCTGGAAAGAGAAGTGCAAGAGCTTGTCGGTCGTCTCTCTGACATAATGGGAGACAGGAAGTAGACGGTGATCTTTGTTCCAGAAGTTTGCCCTTGCGGGCAGGTTCGTGTGACGGCTTGCGGAGCTGGAGCTGTGAGTGAGTGACGGTAGGGGTTCACACACAGTGTACATGCGGCGCTGTGTCTCTTTGCGCTGCTTGCCCTGCTTGGATGCGCTCGTCCGATGGCCGCGAGAGAGCTTCTGCCAGTGTCGCGCGGACAAGTAAGTACCTACGAAGGGGTATCACACCTGGCTCAGTTTGGCTGCCCCAACCTCCCAGGCTGCAGGGCGGCCAGCCAAAATCGACAGGAGCCAGCGGCACACGCCAACGGCCAACGGCAGTTGAACAGTTAAAGAAAAACATTTACACGCAGAAACATGTGTACAATACATATATATATATATATGTATAGTACATATATATCTATATATATATATATGTATATATATACATATATTATGTATACGGGTGTAGTCCACGTCCACAGCCGCCCATTACTCCCCTCTCCCTGCAGGCTGGCTGCCTGCTGCTCGTGCGCACTGCGCTCATGCTGTTTGTGCCTGACTCTTGCCTTTCCCAGATCTGCGCCTAATATGCCTGAGCAATTGCCAGTGACTATCCTGAGGCACAATGCAAGAGGTCGGAAAATTGAGGCAACGTTACAAGTCCCCCAAGTATGAAAATTCCCCGAGGGGGGGGGAGTAAGAACCTCTGCTTCTCGTCCACACGTATACACTATAAATATGTATGCATACGCAGACTTGCGCAGGGCTTCCGACACCGCGCCACCAACCCCAGCAGTGCACCTCTTGCGGCGGCCTCGAGTTTGCAGGGGCAACGCCCACCTTGGCAAATCTGCCGCCGCGAAGCGCAGGACTCGAGACTAGCAGGGGCCATGAAAACTGGATGCAAGCGCCCACGCTTTGAAGATGAATGTTGCGAAAAGTCGGGATCCCCATCAACCGATGGCTAGGAAGCAGCACGTTTACCTGGCTTCTCCTTTGAACAACGTAACAAAAGTCCCACACGAGGAAACCCCAAAGGCCCAAATGTATCTGTGAACAACAACACTGACCCAAACATACCAAGGGACATGCAACCCGCATCGATCATGTTGGCAACACATCCAACAGAGACGCTTAATATAATACAATGATGTGCTGTTGTACGTGTTGCGACCAATTGAGTCCGTACATGACAACGGCAAACGACAAATGAACTAAATCCACGATTGACACTGCCCAGATATGAGAGTCCGCGGCACTGCACCCGAACGCTATCAACTGGCACTCATAACCACTATCAACCCGGCTTGTAGAACCTTTACTGCAATGCAAGCAAGGGTTTTGGGCTTCGCACATGAGGTGTTGTTCTTCGTGCGACTCAACACACAATGGTCTTCCCACATAGTACACCGTCCAGGAACTCAGGGAGTGAGCAAGTCTTAGTATCATTTCTGAAATGAAAGTTCCAGTCCACAGCTCAATGTGCGCCCAAACAAGTCATAAGGATCCACGGCGTTTGAGTCCATTTATGCTGTGCAGCACGATATGGAGGTCTTGGATTACGGGGACGGCCGCGCACGCGGTCTCCGAGGGTTTCGGGGGGCCTGGACGGGACTTCTCGTCCGCAACGAAGAGGCTGCAAGCATTTAGGCCCTTTTAGGGCAAGCAAACCTGGTGGTCAGAGTAGGCCAAAGAGGAAAGGCGTGATCGAAAATCAGAAGATATGCCTGAAACGGGCTTCCAGTTGGTTGCCTTTGAACACGTGTGAGAGTCCATTGGACCCTGAGCTTCCGGGCTGCAATGCCTTTGCCCTCCACATCTTCGCCCACCTCGCCTGGACAAATCCGCTTGCCGTTTCATATGTTTCGCACCAGGCGTGTGCGCAACCCCAAGCCTGAGTTGCTTGCACGCTTGACAAAATGGAGGTTTGTTGGGGATTCCACAGCAGCCAGAGCGGTCTAAGCAACAAAGACCAAGGGGGCAGAGGGTCAAGTGATGTTAAGTGCACAGGGCAAGCTTCCAACAAATCTGGGACCGATGATGACTGATGGGATGCATTGCTTGCAGGATCGCATCAAGTGGCAAAGCAGCAGCCGAGAAGCAGCGAAGCAGTCAGTTAGCCAGAACAATTCGGGGGGGTCCTCGAAGTTGCCGAAGTCACGTGTCGCGAGACAACCCTTTCATACTGAAGCTCACAAAGCTGTGGCCATGGATGAGAAGCTCGCAAGGGTTCGAAATTGGCAACCATGGGCATGGGACGGGAAGCAAGACTGGTCTGTTGCCCGGATCTCAGTGCTTGCCAATTTTTACCTGGTGGCTCTTTTTTCTTGGGAAGCGCGACGGCGTGATCTTCAGAAACGACACTTTCCCTGCAGTGAGATCTTTGTCGCATTCTGAAAACTGGAGCCCGTGGGACCAAGCACTAACACCTCATTAACCTGGGTTGCCCCGGTTTCCATGAAACAAACATCCTTTGTGGGGCAAAAAGTCGTTGGCCCCTTGAAGGCCCCCGTTTGCTTCGCGCAAACCCTGCCTTCCCTGGTCTCTGCAGTGCCGCCGCCGGCACCGCCGCCCTCGCCGGCCTGCTGAGCATAATCCATGTGCGTAAGACCAACATGTGACCCTGTTGCTGGCTTACGAGCCGATGTTGAGTTTGTGGGATCCCCAAAAAGGTCTGTACAAAAGGCTGTGCTTGAGGTTTGACCTTTATTAGGGACATGATCATCGTGAATAAAATATCCGGTTGTTTTTAATGCTGGAACCTGTTAACGGAATCCTGAGGGGAGAAGCACCACCAAGACTGAAACAGGTTTGGGGCTAGGATGACATCGGAACGAAGAAACCAGGCAAACTATGCTATGTGCATGATTGGCCAACCCCCAACAAGCAACACGCCAAGCGGGAGATGTAGTCAATACCCTGTGCTGTTGGATCTGAAAATCAGAGGCTGCTCCTCGCGTCCGGAAAAAAAATATCCTTGGATTTCGACAACTGGCAGAGAGGTCTTGGTCTGCCTTGTTGACACATACCCAAGTCTCACTGAGCTTCTCGCAAAAACCACATCAGCAAGGCACGTGAATATTAAAGGGGGTTCTTGCATGTTCAATACGGCCGTCAGGGAATCAGGGTAAGTGCCAATGAAAGCTGTCACAATGTCAAACTGAACCAACTAGGACAAAGTAGCCAGCAACTGAACAATGCTCCAACCTCAGCTTGTGAAATGGCAAAACGGAACTTGGTGCAGGACTGCAAGACTCTGCACTGCCCCTTTGGTTGATACTGAATGCTCGCTCTCTCAGCTCCGCTTCGGATCGATACTCGCCTCGGCTGGGTCCTGTGGCGGTAATGTGTTGATGGGCCGGTTCGCTAACTCCGTACCTCAGTCGCGCAAAGCAGTTACAAGGCAGACCATGCAAAAACGGGTGACGCCCTTTGTTTGGTAGTTGTGTCAGGCGCCCTCTGTCGGGCAAAGTGTTCAAGGGCCAAGTGCTAAGCGGAATGCCCTCCAAAGGAGAAAAGGGCACTGAAGGTCTGGGAGGAGTCGACTGGACCCATTTGCTGGAGCGCCCGGCTCCGTTGCAAGGCTTGCTTTGAACAAGTCCCTTTGTTTTTAGCTTGTGCTTCTTCCCCCTCAATCACCTCAAAAGGGTGCCCTCCACAACAAAGAGGGTAAGCCCCAGGTGGTCTGGCACTGAAACTTCCAGGATTCCAGAAAGACCGGCTCTTGATGCTAGCTCAGGTGTATGAGGTCAAAATCTCAGTCGGGGCCACGGTTCCCAGCAAATAGTCTTATCATGCTCATCTAAATTCGCGATGTCAAGACCATTTCGACTCAGCCCCTTATGTGGGTAGTCCCCTCTCGTCACAAAATTGTGGAAATGACCTTGAGTTCCAGTTAACTGACTTTTGTCCCCGCAAATGAACCAAAAACAACTCACACGGCACGCTTCTCGTTCTTCACAACGTATCGCCTTGGGTGTGTGGGCGCCCTGGCGTTTCCCCGAATCCGTGTCCCAAAAAGGGGACCCAACAAATGGTCTTGTGTCCTTCGTGGTCCCTGTGACACAACCCCAGAAAAGTCAAACAAACGCATTGCCCAATTCAAGTCGTCCGCAAGCACGAGCCTAAGGCGCGGGCGCAGGTTCTGGTACAGCTTCCGGAAACAAGTGAAGGACTCGTACACCATGCGCAGGCCTCGCATGGCTCGAAAAATGCCCCGCCAAATGGAGGCTGGAAAGACTGGCAGGTGACTTGCGAAAAGCTTCATTGTTCGCTCTAGTTGTGTGAACTGGCTATGTGGTCGCATAATTTTGCCCTAGCGCATGATTTTTCTAGCCCTCTCCTGAATGGCATACTGCTAAAAGGTGGCCGCAGCTCCAATCCCATGTTGGTTCAGCATTCTGCCTTCTTCCATCCACTGAAAGCACGCGCCCATGCCATCTTTTGGGTCTCAAAACATGACTGAAGCTGTAACTTGAAACCCTGTGATGCTACGACCACCACTACCACTGCTGCTGCTGCCGCCACTGCCGCTGCTGTAGCTACTGCTGCTGCAACGGCTAGTGCTACTGCTACTTTACATACATGCACCGGCACAGTTGAAAGATTTGGCATCAAACACCAGAACATGCTACAACATGTCCTAGGTCCAATCCGTGAAGGGTTGTGCAATTTGAGACGTCGCCGAGGTCGGGGTGCCATGTGTGGAGCCCAGAAGAGTGGGCTTAACATCTGGGGATCCCAAATCCGATTTACCGTAATCTGTGGCGCGTGGTGGGACGACACGACGAGGGAACCTACTACCATGTCGCACTAGGGACCGAGGTTGATCAGGGGTTAATCCTGAAGGCTGGTCCATCACACGACTTCTGGCAAGGTGTCCGTCGGCCACGGAGCCTCCCCATCGCCGGCCAGAAATCGGCGCATAGAACCGAAGAGAAGAAACCCACGACTTTGCCCACCCTCTTTTGTCTGACAAAACGCACTATAGCCTCTTTCTTGGACTCCATTGAGGCCAGTGCTGGTGACCTCAATCTCCTGCAACTCGCCCTCCAGATACATCTGCACCTGCCGACAATGACAAGGGTCTGAGTGTGGCGCTTCCCGCAAATTGGCTTTGTGGTTTCTTGAGGGTACCCTTGTCTGGCTGGTTTAAAGGAAAACCAACACCAACAACCGTTGTTCTGAGTTTTGTGAAAGTGCCTTCAATTTCAAGGCACTCTTGAACAAATGCAAACGGCAGCACTTCAGGTTTATAACCCAGCAGTTTGGGGGCCATTCTCAGCCCACTCATGTTTCGAAGCTCAACGACCGTAAGAACTATCCGGCAGTGAGCCGCCAGCAAACTGAGCCTGAATTTGCACAAGACCCGCACACACGCACACAGGCACACAGGCACACAGGCAAACGCCCATAGGCACACAGGCACACAGGCACAAACACACACACACACACACACACACACACACACACACACACACACAAACCACGCACGCATGTACGCACGCAAGCAAGCACGCGCCCACGCACACACACCCGCCCTCCCCCCCACCCTCACCCCCCCCACCCACACACACACACACACACCCACACCCACACACGCGAACACACACACGACACACACACACAGACAGACAGACAGACAGACAGACAGACAGACAGACAGACAGACAGACAGACAGACAGACAGACAGACAGACAGACAGACAGACAGACAGACAGACAGACAACAGACAGACAGACAGACAGACAGACAGACAGACAGACAGACAGACAGACAGACAGACAGACAGACAGACAGACAGACAGACAGACAGACCACACAGACACGGACACAAACACAGACACACAGACACACAGACACACAGACACACAGACACACAAACACACAAACACACGGACACACGGACACACGGACACACGGACACACAGAGACACAGAGACACAGAGACACAGAGACACAGAGACACACACACACACACCCACACCCACACCCAAGCACCCACCCACCCACCCACACACACACACCCAAGCAATCACAGAAACATTAAAAATCAACTTCTGCACTACTCCAGCTTTGCACCTACCCTCTGAGCAACTGTTGCACTCTTTATAAAGAGCCTCTTAAATGGCCAGCTTTCGTGAACAATATTGCATGGCATTGCAAGAAAACGGTGGCCTTCCAAAGCAATCAAGGTTCCCGAAGGAGGGCCAGTCTGGTTTATGTTTAGACTGATTCCAGATGCCCTTCTCGAATCATCGAACATCCGCCCACTGCCTCTGTCTGGAAGCCAAGCCTTTCAAGTGAAAGGGGCTGGCACCCAAGGAAAATGTTGCCATGGAATGGCCCCCTCGCCCAAACTGGCCTTGGATCTGCAAAGTCTATAATTCCAAAACCTGTTCTAAGGAACTCCAGCCAACAGCGAGATCGGTTCTTGCACCCCAGACGTAAAATCGCTCACATAAAAAAAGGAATATGGATGAAGACCCCTCGCGGCCTTGTCCTCGAGTTCCTTCTGCTCATCTGGTGCATACTCCTGACTCTGATCCCTTCCTGCCTGAAAAAGAGTGGCCTGGATGATTGGTGTCCAATTCGTGCCCATGCTAAATCATGCTAAAGAGAGATGCCCAAACAAGGCAATTGCGTACGCATGTGCATGAACATTTGTGTATATATTTAATATAATACTATAATGTACAAACAACAATCAGACTAGCCAAGTCCAAGGCGTGGCCCCCGAACCTGAGAGCCACGACTCTTCCAGCTCCTTTGGGCAGGTGGGTCTTACATGAGGCTTGCAGCAAGGGGGCTCCTCGTACTGCACGCGGCTTCTGCCCGCCAAGGTGTCATGCATAGCTAGCTCCTGCCAGGCAAGGGAGTGCTCCGGAATACCCACGAGAACCCAGGCCTCCAGACTTCCATAGGCAAAAAAACAACGGGACCCCCCTCCTAAAAGAAACAAAGACATAGCTCTGGGACAAAGAATGCGGGCGGAAAGCCGCTCTCAGCAAATCGATGTGGCGCACATGGGGCGGCCCACCTGCTTGAGGTCCTTGATCTGCCGCTCGTATTTCCTGCGATACTTTGCAGCGAAAGTCCAGGAGCCCATTTCACACGCCCGAAAACGGACAAATGACATTTGCAAGGAGGCCCCACCAACAATCCACTTAACAAAGTCGGAAGGTTTGAGCAATGGTTCCCAGTAGATTATCTCGCAACATCCTCCACGTGCCGGCAAATGGCCAAGGGCTGATGGAAGATGCGGCCGAAGTTGGAAGACTGGGTGCATGGCGCGGGGGATCCTGCAAAAGGGTACAAAGATCAAATGGGTGCCTAAGACAAAAAACCCTGTCTTCATCCCATGGTGTTCATTCATAGGGATCCCGGTCGCACACCTTTCTTGCTGACTTGGCAGGCCATGCCGTGGATATTGGCCCTGGAAAGGAATGGTCCACAAGGCCGCAACTAGAACAATAAACATATCAATTAGAAACACATTAGTCGAATCTCAATATGTGTCAACTAATATGGCATACGCATCAATATCACTAACACATACACATGAGTGAATTCTATGGGGTCTGGACCCGTTGGTGGCCATCAGAATTTGGTGGGGGGCGTCATGTCCACCAACAAGGTAGTTCCTCTTAAAATGATGTTCAATCTTCATGTCTGTTCAATGCATAGGCCGTTCGGATTCTCGTTTCCATCGCCTGATGAGGAGCTGAGGGTCCAAGTGAACGTTCACCGAGGCCTCGTTGGATACCTGCGGGGCACGATGGGGCACGCACGCCACCGTTTGACGCATGGACCTTGGCATCTCCTCGGAGCGCTGGGCTCTCTTTCGTGCGATTGGGGCTACAGTTGGTACGTGGTTGAGAAGCAAGCTGAAACAAGTGGAATCCATCTAGTTTCAACCAAACCGGGCTAAACCGACTGTGCTGGATCTTTCGCCCAAGTCCCAAAACGACCTTGAATGGCAGGGTGGATACACTGGATGCTGAAGGCCGAAACTTGGGTTGGTCCGAGGGATTTGGTTGCCAATCACCGCTATGGACGTCCAACAGTGGATGACTGTTTGCGCCACATTTGGCCACTCACACAGCACCTAAAGGGACCCAAACACTGCACTTCCTGAACATGTCTTCGCAAGGGCCGCAGCCATACCGACAGAACTGATCCACCGCTGAGAGTTGTCCTTAGGATTACGCAGCAAAGGACATGTTCAAAACTAATCGACTCAGAATTCAGCATGGCCAACAAAATTGATTCACAGTCTCTGCAAAGTAGAGCGCCCCAACATCCCATGGCTACCTGTTGGCTTTCTTGGTTGGGGACACAACTTGGGGGGTTGTCAGAAAGATCCCCCTTTTTGGGCCCTTGCTCCTCCTTGTGCCACTTGTCAAGTCCCACAAAACGGGCAAGTTCGACAAGGGAATGTGTTCAAGATACGAAGCTACCTCAAAATGGTGTGTCAATTTGCTTTCCCAGTGCAAAGGGTACCGAGATGTACCGAGCCTCACCCACAAGGCGATCGATTGACTCTTCCCGTGCCTTCATCATGCGCGTGGCGAAGCGCAAGGTGCTGGCGGTCTCCTCCAACATCTTGGCCTCAGCGATGCCAAAAGTGCCCCAAAATCCGTGCTGGTTCTACGAACATGCTAAGGGTTTGCATATCATAAGACCAGCTACTAGGACCGCCTGGGAATTTGCGTGCTCAATTGGACTTGCGTTTGTTTGAAGGGGTATCATTCAACGTAGGTTTAAAGGGCGGCCAAAAGGCAAACCACTTTTTCTTGTCTATGTTGTTTTGTGGGGGAGGGAATGCCGCATACCCAATTGCTTGCTAAGTTCACCTCGGGGTGTTCACTTCTGAGAGCCAGAATTAATCCACCTGGTGGATTCACTCCACCTGGTGGATTCACTGGGAATCTCATCATTCAATCAAATTGCTATGCGTCCTGGGTCCCATCAGGCGGCAGGCTACTTCCTCACTGAGATAGGCTGGAATGACAGGGAGCACCCAACAACAAACATAGTTTCGGTCACCTGGAGCAACTAACGCAAATGCCACGGACTGGCAGAATGTCCACTGAATTTCCAGGGATGAACTCTTGAAGGTCTCACAACGGAGCCCATGTGTCGCAAAACAAACAGCGACAGCATACGCACTGGGAATAAAAAAACATGGCTGATTCTCCTTGAAAGCTACAAGGGGGCAAACACCCTCTCAATGAGTGACCTGCAGCTCACCGGTCCAGAGACCAGAGGTCAGGTTTCCGTTGTGCGTGATTTTTGAGGATCATTTGATGGATTGTGCTTGTACTTGTGCTCTTCTCACTGACTCAGCTCGTGCCAGCCTTGTGTATGTGTATGCTCCCCCCCATACACACCTCCAGTTGTTGGGCAAGATCTCGCCTTGCCCAAGGGAGTGTGTTTGGCAGGTGTGTTTGGGGCATGGCGGGGGGCGAAGAATGACTTGGATGTCGGACCTACTGTCCCAAGCTTGTGCGGATGCCTTCCACTGGGGTACAAGCACAACAAACAGGGGTGCATGTGGACGGGCATTGGGATTTGGGGTTAGCAGCTTCCCATGATCATTCAACTGGTATACGGTATACCACACATTCATCGACAGAAGCAACCTGCAGTATCATTGATTCCTTGATTCTTTAAGGAAAACATCGACTACCAACAGTATGGACCCTTTCTTACTCTACAGCAAAGTGATATCTATGAGGGTCAGGGCTCTGAGTTGAACTTCCCACACGCCGTCCCGCCCAAGAATGTCGCCAATTTGAGGAGAGCAACCACAAAAAAATGTGTTCTCTGATGTGATGCCCAAAATGAGCAGCCCTAGCTGCCACGTTTGCCATGAGTTGCCTTGAGTCACTCGGATGCAATTGTCCCTGGGACTCAAAACAGGTGATGGCGAAAACAAACCGCTGCAAAACAACACGGTGAGTTGCCGGGAGGGTCATGATATATCTCCAGTCTTGACCAGTGTTGGAACGCCTGCACTGCATGTTAGCGTACTTGGACTACTGACGTGGACAACCCACCAAGGCAACCAGACTTACAATGTGTGGCTGTGTGTTTACATGCCACGCATTTTGCCGAATGGGCCATCACTCAGTCCCCCGCCTCAGGCCAAATGTTGGCGACCATGGTGGTCTTGCAATTGCCTCCAAGGGAGTCCTGGCATCGGTCTCCAGTGAATTTATTGTCGTAGTTGTAACCCTCCCTACCTTCCACCTGGCCATAAACCTGACCGTTTTCCTTTTGAAAGCGACCCGCTGACAGGTTTCATGTTTGTGGTTGGGGAGAGTATACTGGCGTTGTACCAAAAAAAAGGCTCCCAGTGTAGCCATCTAAACGACCTTGTCCATGTGTTAGACACCTATGGCAAAATGGCGGATGAAAGAGAAGTCTGTAAAGTTAGACATTTCTCCAAGGAACACATTCTTAGATTTGCCTCTACCACCAATCCTTTGATTACAGCTCCTGCGCACACCGAGGTTGGACGTGGGGCGTGTTTATCTGTCTTTGTTGGGTACAACAAGTTGGGTGGAGGAGGGGGATTTGCCTGGGGACCACCCCCACGTCGCGCTGTTCTGATTCAGCATTTGCCCTGTGATTTGCAGGGTGTGGGGGATAAGTCGGTGGCCGAGATGCGTCGTGCTGACAGGCGCAAGGGATCGCGGATGTTCACATTCCTGCTGGAGGTCGAAAATCAACTAATGCGCATCATGGAAAGCGTCAATGCGGGAAAGGGGATAACATGGGGCCAAGTGGCCAAAGGACCAAGAAAACCCAAACAGGATAGTGAGTGTTGGCAATCTCACTTAACAAATGCCTCGAATGCTGCAGCACAAAGAAGCCGCAGTGGAACAGTGGTGTCACTAAGCAGCTAGTACGGCTGTTATTGTGGTCATTGAAAGTTCCGCAGCATTTCCACGGAGCAGTGTGACTGTCTGACACGAGGTGTTGCCATAAAACAACTACTGATTCGAAGTTCCGCCCAAGTGAGCAATCAAACAGTGTCCAATAGCCGACCACCAGCAGGGCCAAAGTACTTCCTGGGAACTTTATGGGACACAGGTGAGTCAAAAATACACTGGTGAATTCACCGGAGAAGTTGTGCATTTGAGAGGACATGCATGGCAAGCCCCCGCAGGCCGACCGGGTCCTTGAGCATATGCGTCAGCTTTGACTGCCGGTACCTGAGCCGTTCACATTTTTCACGAAAGCATTCAAATTCACACAGCTGTCTCAATCCCGTTAACAGCATCCGAAATGGGTAGGATTCCCATTCTGACGCATGCCCGCATGATTCAGAAAGCAATCTCAAATATCGATACTGTTTCAGGGGGAGCCTACCAACTCTTTTAGGAAACATTCTGTCCAACATGAAACGCACAAAGGGTACCTGCCAAAGGGAAATTGTCTTCCAGATCCCGCTAGTCAGGTTTCATGACAGTGGAAGGCTTACCCGCATTGGGTTTGCGGAAATGCAAACGGACCCCTTGGCGCTTCCCCTTAGCGAACAGCCGCGGACCTTTTGAGACGAACAGGCGAGAAAGCACTCCTTAAAGCAGGGGGGTGCCGGGAGGCTTGTCGCCTTGGAAAAAGACTCTGGGGTCACGCTGTGGCGGTTGGCAAAGAGAAACACAGGAAATTTGTTGGTTAGGTTCTGTATAAACATCAACTCGATTTGCTTTTTGGACTGGGGCAGAACTCTTGATTTCCCACAAGTTCTGGCTGTGCGCTGACGAGAAAGTACGCAACAAGGCTTAAAGGCCGTCAAAGAGGATCGCTTGGCTGCCTGTCAGATTTCCATGCGGTCAACTGGCCGGTTGATGGATTCCTTCTAAAAAAACCAGACCGGAGGTCTCTCCTTATCTGCCTTGGAAAAGGTTGTGGAACATCAGTATCTCGTGCTTCGAACAACTCGAAGGGCAAACCAGTGGTTCCTGGGAGTGCCAGTAGCAGTGACCAACGCTCTGTCACTCTCTCTCTCTCTCTCTTACCCAAGGTGCGGTGCAGCCGACTCTTGAGAGTTGGGATCCATTCTGGCCAAAGAATCCTAATTTGAGATAGTATGACTTGGAGCAAGCGGATTCCTTTCCCGCAACCTCTGGTCCTTAGCTTCTCATGGAACACTATTCCCAAATTTGTGGACAAAGCGAGCCAAGTCCTGATGAAACGATGTGATTGACGTGTCAGTGGAAAACCACGCAAGTTGCCAAACACGCTTATGGCCTTTAACCTCCACCTGCAAGCTTTGGTGTTTGCGGACAGATATTCTTGCACAAACGCTGCAGAGTGGTATGTTTGCTAGTGTAAGACCAGAAAAGAGTCGCAACCACATCGTCATGATGCAACAACGGTAGGCCTTCAATTTGTTTCACCAAAAGCGGCAACAGTTCTGTGAGAACCAGCAACTCATCCATGACCCTGTTGATGGATTGCTCTTGCCCCTGAGCAGGTTTAACCTTTCTTGTAGGGTCAATAGAAAAGCCATTTAACTTGCTTTCACCAGGTCTATCGCATCTAACGGGCTAAGGTCACACCAAAACGCAGAGGTTGGACGTTTTCTCAGGCCTCCTCAACCTCTGAGTTCTTTCTGCGATCCCGTTATGGCCCTTCGCTCATAAGCAGTGTGGTTTTTCTGGGTCCAACATGGAGGGTCTGCAAAAGAAACACATCCCTTTTGGCTCCCTTTTGGGCGTTTGTCAAGTTGTGAAGCTGTTTGTTCGGCCGGGAACATCAAGCAACCTGCAAAGGCAGCTGGCAAAGGTATGGACGTGCATGCTATACTACGCCGAACGCTTAAAACAACATGGCCGGCAACCTGTTTATATATTGTTTGTTCGCGGCTATCATTTTTCAGTGATGCCCTGTTTGGAGAGCAGGGGTAAAACCAGGAAGCAAACAAGAAACACTTGGTCCCCAACCTCATCGTCCTGGTCGCCATGGGACAAAAGGACGCCTTTTTCTGTTAATAAAGGCAAACCCTGCTCCCTGAACGCAGATGAAAACTGAAAAAGCAATGCTTCTTCAGAAGTCATTAAAAATAGCAAAACTAAATGTCTGAGTAGGTCGAACCAAATGCAGCTCGAACAAACTGCAGCAATCAGGTCGAGATGCGGGATGTGGTCGCGGTGCTTGTTGCCCAAGGCGACGACAACCTGAGATCACACTGCCGCGACCTCATTCGCAAAACCTCACCAGAAATGGGTGTGGGTCAAAATCAAACCAACAGGCGACCGCAGATTTTGGTCCATGTTTCCACTTACCAGGCTTCCATTTTGGGTACCTATTTTTGACCCACAGCCAAATCAAGAAGTTGACCGACTGGGCCCCAAGTTCCAAGTTCCAAGTGACCTTTGAGGGTTGGAGCTTGCCCCACAGACTTCCCGAAGTGCAGAGTGTGTTGATCAGCCAGCCCCAAACCTCGCTTCCGCAAGAGAAGGGTGGGTGAATAGCTCAAGCCTCCGGTCCTGGTGGGTCTTTGGCAACAATGGGAATTGATCATGACTGTTTCAAGGCAATCAAGCCTTAGGGAACAATAACCAAAGCCCCAACGTTTGGGTGGATGGAGTGGAAAGGCAGCAGGAGACGGAATGCAATGGGTCGATGATGGCTTGCATCAAAGCGCTCTGCAAGTTCCCTGGTCACAAACTTGACTTGTTGAGTAGCCTCACCTGTCATGAGATTCGAAGCAAACGACAGATATATATGGCCGATGGTGGTCGCTTAAAATATTATCTGAGGGTCTTACAATGCGGGAAGACACACACACAGACACACCAACACACACGCGCACCCAATGTGGCTCGCTTGGCTTTCATTGTAGAGATTGTATTGAGGGATCGCCAAGCAAGGGACTTTCGTCATGGGTGAATCCGGACAGTTTTGGGCTTGGACGGAAGCAGTGCTAGAACACAAAACTCTGCCCGGAGATGACGAATCAAGCATTCAACTATCTGTGTCCAACTGACAACCTGCGACGCCCACCTTACCTCACTCCGGTTTTCACACCTGCACAAGTTACCCGAGTGAAGATGACAATGAATGTGCAGCACGGCTCCAGAAATCAACCCGAAGATCACTTAACGTCTCTGCAAATGTCTGAAGTCCTCCCTGAAAGCAAGCGCCTGCTCCAAAAAAGTCAGCGACTTGTTGATGAAGGTGGCCTGCGTTCGTGCGGCGCCAGCCTTCTCAACCAGTGTTGTGTGCGTACCTCGCCTTCCCAGACTGGCAAACAAAAGGTTCAGGTTTGGGGCTGAGTCAATGCCCATGTCCATACATGTAGCATAACAAGGGCGCCATGTGTTTCTCGCCATTGAAGGTCGCTTTAAAGGTCACCGGCCCCAAGCCAGAAACAACGACCGTTTCGATTCAAGGATTCAAGCGCACCGGGATTGGTGGGCAGGCGCTCTGGGAAGCCCGGAAGGGGAAGCTGGCCTGTGTGATGAGTGGAGGCTGGTTGTTGGATGCCCTGAGCAAAACCCGGCTGCAGCCCCTCTGTCAAAACATCCCCAATCACAAGCCTCTGCGTTGTACTTGATGTTCAGGGGCAGGCTACGATTCAGGAACCTTGCTTGCGGCCTCCCCTCACCCCGATTCTTACAAATGGGTGGTTGGGAATAGAACTGGAACTTGAGCAATGTTGTGAAATGCAAGGCTTGGATGCTCGTCCTAATCCATGTGCACAGGCGCTGCTGTCCCACTCGCACGTTTGCAGCTCAGACCTCAGACCGCCCTATTTAGGAGCCAGGAACGAATTACCGCTTGCAAACCATGCAAGGAAACACAGCATTGGTCAGGTTGGGACTGATTGATTCCGCCCAAGAAATCAAAGGGCATGTAAAGACCTGACGTGGGGAAAACCCTGTTGAGCAGTTGGGTCACAACTCCAGGGCAAACAACACGGCCAACCACAGCATCGGTGGGGTGAACGTGGCGAACATTGAGGCAAAAAAGCTGCAAGCCGCCAAACACCTCACGGCTAACTCTTGCTGAAGGAACGACACAATGCCAACCTGTAGAACATCCGTGGCAGGCTGAGGCTGCACGAATTTTATATTACATTGATGGGCAGAGCGATCCATCCGAACCAAATCACCGCTTTTGCCGTCGGACAAGCTGCCAATTGGCCATCCTGCCTCCTTGAGCATGACTCCGTCTGAGCCAGTCCTCGCATGGCGACATGGCCAAACCCAATTAGTGAAGGCAGCAGTTCAGTGCTCGAACCAAGACACACGACCTTGTCTGCAAGAGTGACTTGTTGAAAGGCTGTGCGATCTCACTCTCTGCAAAGAGAGATTCAGCATCAGATTGAGCCTGTCCCTCAATTTGGGGCCCCCCACTGGAGGCTAGCCTATGTTTGTTTGCCGCCAATGCATCCTTGCGAAGAGGACAACCCAGTCGGGCTGTGTTTGAAGGAAGGCGTCGCCCTCCTCGAGAGGTTGAGGATGTTGCCCTGGTCAAGTAATTACTTCACTTTTGAAGCCTCCACCAGAATCGTTTGAACCTTTCTGCAAACAGAGCTTCGAATCAAATCTAAAAAAAGAAACGAGGAAGGTGTGTCTGTGTGTGGGTGGGTGGGTAGGTGCATGCGAGAAAGAAAGGAACAAAGTGTTGCTTGACCCGTCCAAATGCCTTTTCGGGTTCATGTCGGTCTTCATTGTGAACAAGGTGCCCTTCTGTTGGTTGCCAAATGCAACCCAAGTTCAGAAAACGCTTGTGAGAATGTGGAAATGGCAAGTGAACGCGCCAACTCTTGTTTGAATCACAACAACGTGTGCCAAAGCTGTGCGAATCTATTCAACCACTTCAACCTCGATTGCACAAAACAGTTCTGGTCTTGGGAAAGCCAACAAGCCAACGATGGGCTTTGGGCAACTGAGAAACACAAGCTACATCAGCAGCGATATTGAAGCCCAAGCCTGTGTTCATCAAACATGGACATCAAAACCGAACTTGGCTTCCTCCCCGACACATCAGTGCGTAACCACACATGTCCAAACACTAGGACAATAGTCATAACACCGACATCTATCAGATTTGTCGATTTCAGCGAAACCTTAACACATGGACTTGGCACACTGAAAAGTCAGCGTCAAACCAAAGTGCTCAGCGGAATGTCAAACCCCCTCCCAATGGTCGCTCGGGCCCCGGGCTTCTTGACTCGCTCGCTGCCCGCAAGGTCCACCAAATGAAGCTTTGAGAAAATTACCTGGCGCTACGCGACTGGAATGAACATCGAAACGCAAACCAAAAAGCCTCCGCGGGCAAACATATATGATGATGCTTGGGGCTGAAGAAAGCAAAATCCTTGGCCTAGACTCAAGTCACCCTTTAAAACGTTGGGCTGAGTTGAGCTGCGGGGCAGGTCCACAAACCTGGGCTGCGCCAGACCAGGCCACTACCGGACAGCCAGTGGAGCTGGTGTTGGGCGCAGCCTACTGCCATGAAGGGATTGGACAAAGATCACCGACGAGGCCCACATGCCGCACTTGGCACCGGGAATCAAATGGTGCGGCGGTGTGGCTTACGTTGATCCATTGCAATTGAGCTTTTATTTGGATACTTACCCTCCTTGCAACAATCACGGAAGCTGGCAGCTGGGAAGGTCCCAGTCCAGAAGAGGATATCGAAACTCCCGCTAGACTCTGAACATCTGAAAGTCTCGAGGCTGGAAACCAAGTTGAGTAAGGCGCCGGAGTCGGGTGGATCGGTGCCTTTTCAGAGGACTCCACACGGGACCGGCTCTCCACGTAGATGGTGAACACCACGTGCGACCGGGTCGACCTGAGGAAAAGACGCAGCTGAAAAAACGCAATTGAGTCATCGTTGCAGGGCTGCTAGGTACATGGTTCAAACATCAGCTTCAAGTACAAGAGGGGCAAAAGGAACATACCATCTTGGGTTGGAGCCCTTGTGCTCTAAAGCAGTGATACGTGCAGCGGGCTGTTGAACAATGGCAGTTCCTCTGTTTGGCTGTCCCTTCATTGAACCTGAAGCGAGTCCTCAGGAGTCTCCTTTAAACTGACCAAAAAGCCGCTTGAATCAACTGGTCTTCCTTGTTTGACATGTCCAAGAGTTGGACTTGAACTCCTCAAGCGTTGAGACTGAGAGGAGTCCAGCCATATCAAACCCCCATGTTCTTTCTCGCTCACAAGTTGGCGTTGTTATTTGTCCAACGAACAACTGAAGGCCCAGGGCCTAAGAAGACCACCGACTGCCACGGAGCAAACATGGCGCCGTTTGGGCCCTGAAGGCCTCCCAGTGAATGGACACCCCCGCTAAGATGAGCACGCTCGCCCACTGAAAAGGACCCAATTGCGGTGACCAAATTGGTTTCGACTGGATTTGGCAACCCGGCCCCTTGTTCAAGGCGTGCTCCGCCACATGCCGATTGGTGTCTCCCTGGAAGAAGATGTGCAGCGCCTGCTGGCCGTGGTTGGTGCTCAGTTCTTCGGGGGACAACGACGCAAAGCGGGAGGAGAACCGGATGGCTTCAAAGAGAAGCGACTGTTTGGGAGAGACAAGCATGACATGTGCATTTTTTGGTTGGCCTGCTGATGGCTGTGTGCAAGCAGCCACCCTCTGGTCAGGGCAACGGGGACAGTTGGTATCCTCGTTGCTAGCCAAATGGGCAGAAAACTGCTGGTCTCTTTCTTCTCGAACAGACGCAGATTGAATCATGCCTGAATGAATTAGATCCGTCCCCAGTCCCCCTGACAATAAATGCACCTAAAATAAACCTGGCTTTGTCAAACCCTAATCTCCCAACACTCAACTAGATATGGTTTGCCATCTCATAAGGGTGTGCAGCTTTCTTGGGGGGATGAATTATATAAAAGGAAACCAAAACAAAAGCCTTTTTTTTGTGACACACACACACACACGCACACGCACCCAAAATGTGACTAAAAACGTTGAATGTCCCCTTGCCGGTTCCCTTTGAAATTGGGAAATCTAGCCCTCATCTGGTTAGCCCAAGAAAATTGTAGGACCGTGCTTTTCCTGAGCGTAACATCCCATTGACTCAGATTACAACTCGAACCCAGTTCAGCAGGTCCATACCCCTTGCCCTACTCGTCAGCCAAACTGCCTAGCCATGTTCAAAACTTGCCTTTACTCTTTATGGCAAATGAAGCAGAAACCCGCCAATAGCAGGTTTGAAAGTCTACCAACTGAGGCAAACTCAATCAAAGCGAGTTTGGGGCGCCCCCCACCCAAATACATATATATATATATATATGTATATAAATAAATAACACCTGCACCACCAGCCTCCTCCTCTGTGCCGCCCACAGGCGTGGACAACCCTCTCACCTGCACAGATTGAGTGCCCTGAAGTGACCCTTGGAAGCCTCAAAAAAATGGGGGGGGGGGGGAAAACAGCACTCCTTGTTTCAGGTCCCATCCCCAAAAAAGTCACCGTGTTTTTAACACAGACACACAAACACGAGAGCTTCAGCGCATCTATAGCGCATCTTTCACCGGACACCCCTCACCCCAAGCCCGAGTCTGGCCGGTTGGAAGTCGGGGTTGGGATTCCACTAGAACTTGTTTCAGTTGTGACCAGCACCAAGCCCGATTTACAAATTGAGCTACGGGTGGGAGAGCTGCACCTTCTGCATCCCCATTCACTTTGTTTTCTTGGCTTGACCTGCAAGCATTTAACCAGGTTGGCGAACTATGTTCTCACTAACTAGCAACATGCTCAGCCGCCCTTCCGATCTCTCAGGTATTTGGCAAACCATGTTGAACATGGCACACACACACACACCCACGCACCCGCACCCGCACCCGCAGCCGCAGCCGCAGCCGCACCCGTACCCGCACTCGCACCCCTGCACACAGACACACACACACACACACAGACAGACACACAGACACACAGACAGACACACAGACAGAGACAGACAGACACAACAGACACAGACAGACACAGACAGACACAGACAGAGACAGAGACAGAGACAGAGACAGAGACAGACAGAGACAGAGACAGAGACAGAGACAGAGACAGAGACAGAGACAGACAGACAGACACAGACAGACAAACACAGACAGACAGACAGAGACAGAGACAGAGACAGAGACAGAGACAGAGACAGAGACAGAGACAGAGACAGACAGACAGACAGACAGACAGAAAGACAGAGACACACACAGACAGACAGACGGACATACAGACAGACAGACGGACAGACAGACAGGCAGGCAGGCAGGCAGGCAGGCAGACAGACAGACAGACACACGCACACGCACACGCGCACGCGCACGCAAATGCGCACGCGCACGCGCACGCCCACGCCGACACCCACGCGCACGCCCACGCGCACGCGCACGCTCACGCGCACGGCGCACGGCGCACGCGCACGCGCACGGCGCACGCACGCACGCACGCACGGACGGACGCACGCACGCACGCACGCACGCACGCACGCACGCACGCACGCACGCACGCACCCACACACACACACACACCAACCAAATACAAGCAAACAAGCAAGGAAGAAAGGAAGCAAGCAAGCAAGCAAGCAAGCAAGCAAGCAAACAAACAAACAAAATAGTTGAGGGGTTAGCGTGTTGTGACACATCCGCTTTCGGTTGTCTCCAGAACACTAGCAACGGATGGGACTTGGACTCCAAGATTGGATCCAAAGAACGGTCCTTGGAGGACAGGGTAACCTGCAGCTCATTAACCTGAGCTTTTGCCACCAACTTGAAGGACCAATATAGGGGGAAACCAGGAAGTTATGGACTGCGGAGTAACAGGCGGCCCCAACAAACCAACTTTGCGGGGGCGAGGGAAGGTGCCGCACATTTCTGCGAGCCAGCGGTTAGTACGAAACCCCGGCTCTGCTTTCTGGAGGGTCTGCAATGGGGATGAGGGAAGTTCTGCAGACTGATGTCTCCCTAGCATTGCCCTCTGCTGATTTCACAGATATTCTGAAAGAGCAATTCCTCTAACAAGAACCCCTTTCGTGGATAACATCGCTAAAGAGACCCAAGACAGTCTGTTTCCTTTCATTTTCACGGAGCGGCACACGCCCCGAAAGCCAAAGCGCCTGGATGTTCCCTCGTGAGTCCTCCACAATGGAGAGGTCGCCGCTCTGGTCGGCCACTCCTACATCCGTGAGCAGGTCGAACCTGGCGAGCGGGGCGGTTCCGGGGCCGTTTCTCTTCGCCGAAACTACAAATGGATATGGGTATGTCTTCAAATAGGGGAACACTATCATTGGTGGCTTTCCTTTTTGGTTTAAACCAACCTCAAAAAGGGTACCTCCAATAAGCCCCACACCCATATGATTGTGATTGTTGATAGGGGACCCCTTGCTGGACATCATGTACGTGGGGATTCACGTCCTCAACGAGTTTGGAAAAAGTTCGCCATTAAAGTTGACAGCCACATGGCCAAACCACCTTTGCGCAACCTGTCTACCCGCTGACCGGGCTTCTGAAGCAAGCCTTGAAATTGAACCAACCAGCTGGTTTCATCAATTCGATAAACTGAAAACAAGTTCTTGCGAAATGTGCAAGACATGGCTGTGGGTCAAAACCCTGTACCCCTGGTGAACATCAAAATAGGTGGCAAATGGATGTTCATCCACCCCAAAATGGAGCCATAGGTTATGCCCCATGGCCACATTGGCACAACCCGCAGCACAAGCCAGCATGGCATCAACTCATTGTAGATCTCCACCTCAGATCCAATCGCTCGCTCAATATCAGGAGCCCCTCAAGGAAGGGGCACCTGTTTGGCTCCTGTGCTTGGATTAGACGTGTCACTCCGAAGAAATGAGCCCATCGTGGAGAGGACCCCAAAACTGCGAAAATTAGTTGTTTCATTTGAAGTCTGCTTCAACTCCATCCACAAGGAGTTCATCCTTTGCCAAGGGATGGGCAATATGATACTTGGTCCAAGCTCAATACCATTGGCCTGCAGAGGGAACTTGAAGCCTTGCACGTGGTCTGGCTCAGAATGGTGGATCCGCTTTTAGTGTTTCAAGGGAAACCAAAAGGATACCAACCATTTTAGGGAACCACCAATTTGAGAAATGCTTATTTGTTAGGGTTTTCCTGTGTTGAGGGAGAGGTGACGTGGCAATCCCAGGGCAGCACAAGGGAGAAGCAGAAACAGGCCACCTATACCATCTTCTTGGGGGGAAGGCAACCCTCAGATAGCCGCAATAAAAAGCTCGCTTGAGGACATTGTATCTCCACAATGCAAAGCCCAAACCTGCAACATCAGCGGGGAATCAAGTCAACTCCACGACTGAGTGAGTGGGTAATTGAGACGGAGACGTAAGACGGAAAGAGAAAAATTGTTTGGGTTCAAACAAAGAATAAACGGGCACACATCGGGCTGATAGACAGGCGTCGTAGGAGAGCTTGATGGTGATGTTGTTCTCTGGTCTTGCTGCGGCCTACGGCCGACTCGGCAACACCACGCTCCCTCCATGGACTGTCAATGTAGGGGACCCCGACCCCTAGAAATGGGTTGTTTCCTGTTGGCTTCCCTGTAAAACCATCCAGAAAAGGGTCCGCCATTTTGAGAAGCCGCATTTCACCGCAAAATTCCGTTTTAGGCAAATGAGCATGAGTTGTAGTCTGATTTTATGATTTCTCAACAAATTCAGCATTGCCGCTTCACTGTGGCCGCCTATGTCCTGCTCAAATGAACAGTAGATCACCAACGTTGTCACTTGCTCTCATGTGGCATGTCAAAATACAAGGTGTTTTGGAGCAGGGGCCCTTTTGCTGCATGTTGGCCCATCCTCAATATCTAAAGATGTTCGAGTTTTGTGTGCACTGGTTGCTTCACAGAACGTGCTAGAACCACGCGCTGGCAGAAAAACAGCACCACAAAGGGGCTCAAGAAGCAAACGGTTGTGCCATGTAAAGTGCCCCCCTGCAAAGACTGCCTTCCCCCAGTGTTAATTCACACATGACAAACCGGGGTTACCGCAAAATGGGCCGCTTTCCTTTTCGTTTCACTTAAACCAACCCCTAAAAAGCCACCCTCGCAAAATGACATCCCTGCCACGGTGGTCCGCTCAGGCTGAAACACCTCCTTGGGACAAAACCAATGGTCCGTCACAAAGGTACACATGGAATCTGGTCATGAGCTTCGGACCCATCACAAGGATGATGGATTCCAGATAAGGTGTTGCCATTTGGAAGGGTCCCGAAACCTTTGTGCAAGTCCCATATTCAAACATTATCCCATCTTGACGGCTGTGGGAAGCCTCCATTTTGCTTATTCGCTCGTTGGTAAGTGGGTACATTGGTCAACCGCTCGTTTGCCCGTCTTAAGCCCACCCGCACCCGCCTCAGAGTAGATCTGGGAGATGGCGCGCGGCACAATGCCGCGGTCCGCGAAGCCCATGTGGCCCCCCGTCATCTGAGCGCGCGAAGACCAGCTAGAAATGGAATGGCATTGTTTTATTGACTTGCGTCAAAATCAGGACCTTTCAAAAGAAAACAGAAAGACTGCTGTTGTCTTTCCTTTTTGCTTCCCTACAAAGATGGAAAGGATAATGTTGGACCTCCTCTATTAATAGTACTCGCTATTGTAGAAAACTTTTTCCTAATTCAGAACCCTGTGACTGTTTTAGGGGTTCTCTATTGTGGCAAGTTTTTGGGTCCCCCCCAAAAAAAGCAAAAAAAGAGCGCAGAGCTTCTTTCTTCGCTTTCTGGATTTGCTCGGGCTCAGGGCTTGCTAAGCCTTGGTAGCTCCTGTTGAGCTGGAGGCTGGTTCTGAGCTAGATTTGTGTTTTTTCTTGAAGTGGTCCCCAAACCATCAAATTTAAGATAACTTCTTTACAAAAAAGTGCGGGCAAACAGTCACACAAAGGGGGCCCACAAGAGGCCCAGATCCTCTTTAATGCGACTGCTTCGGGGTCCTCTTTAGTGTCCAACTGGTTTCAAACCAAGTTTCGGGGGTTGCTGAAAAAACGACCCTTGGCAATACTAAAGTAGAATTGGCAATACTAAAGTAAGTACTGGGGATCTGAGAGTCAGCCTTGGCAATACTAAAGTAGAATTGGCAATGCTAAAGTAAGTACTGGGGATCTGAGAGTCAGCCTTGGCAATACTAAAGTAGAATTGGCAATACTAAAGTAAGTACTGGGGATCTGAGAGTCAGCCTTGGCAATACTAAAGTAGAATTGGCAATACTAAAGTAAGTACTGGGGATCTGAGAGTCAGCCTTGGCAATACTAAAGTAGAATTGGCAATACTAAAGTAAGTACTGGGGATCTGAGAGTCAGCCTTGGCAATACTAAAGTAGAATTGGCAATACTAAAGTAAGTACTGCCCCTCCCGGACCCCCAGGATCTCCCTAAAGAGAGTCCCGCCGACTGGTTCCACTGTTCCAGGGGGGGGGTCACACTAAACAGACTCCAACATTACACAAAAGACAGCAACAAACATACCATCTCACCCTCTCACAAACGTAGAACCCGCAAAGGTCGCTTGAAGTGGAAATTGTATTCCCTGGGCCGCTTTGCCAGGTAGGATAATTACTTTGTGGGTCATGTGGCTACGCAAACATTGGCAGGTCAAAAAGCCAAACTCAGCCCTCAGGCTCGACCAAACCTTTGGATGAAGGCAACATGGAGAGGCAAATACCCCAGCCGTGAGGTGAGGACAGTCCCTAATGTGTTTTCACACTTGTGGGACGGGAAAACAAACCGAGACGGTCTCGTTTTGAGGAAAAAGGTCCAAACCAGGTCCCCCTCAGGTTCCATGCTGTTGTTTTGGTCTTTTCTTTTCTTTTGTTTTATTGTTTTTTGTTGGGGGGGTGTTCTTTTGACTTTTTTTGGGGGGCCCAAACTCAGCAACGGGTGGGGGGGGGGGCGGCAGTCCCTTTAAGCTGTCACTTGGGTCACTTCGATGGTAATGTAAATTCCTGGGGCCAGTTGCTTTTTCGTAGATGGTATCCCCCTATTGGTTGGTACTTCAAGGGAAACCCAAACAAACCGACAGTTCGAGGCCGCTAGGTTGAGAAACACCCACTTTGCTTTTTGTGATTGGAAAACACAGTTTTGAACAACACTTTTTTTGTTTGAGAAACCCTCATGCCAAACAGAGCCGTGCGAATTCAGGAAAAATGTTCAAGAAGGGTTGTCTATGATAGCGCATGAGTTTGCTCTTTTTGCGGGGAGGGTATTGGTGGCTCGCCGTTGTTGTACCCATTTTTTGGGGGTGGTTTTTCAGCGGGAAACCGAAAGGAAACAATCGGAGTCTTCGCCGAGGAGCGGTGTGGGTCTTCCCAGCGCCGGTCTGGCCGTAGGCCAAGACGGTGCCGTTGTAGCCGTCCATCACGGAACGCACCACTTCCTCAGTTTCCAACTCCAACCACAGGTCCATTTCGGGGAACCTTTGTTCTATCGCGCCAAAGATTTGTTTCAACCCTTCCTATTTTCAACCTTTGGGAAAATTGGGGACAATGTTGGTGGTTTGCTCTTGGTTCCCTTTCAAACCATATAAATGGAAAAAGGGCCCGCTATTTCGACGAAAAAACAAAAAAGCCCATCTGTGCCATGTTTTGAGCCCAAGTCAGACTTAGACGCAGAGGTGGCTGATTTCCCCAAAAGGGAAACCGATTCCTTTCCTTAAGCCTACGTTGGAGTAATTAGTCTGCATCCAACTGGCCAACCCAATCAATGCGGTGCAATGCGGCTGCGTCACCTTTGTTTGAAACATGAAAAGGTGAAACGGCAAGTAAGCGAGCTGAACAAAACAAAAACAAATGCCCATCGTAGATATCGCGCGACATGAACATCTCCGAAGCCGTCCTCTCCGCATAGATAGCTGCATGATCCTGTGGCCCTCGAAAAAGCAATCACTCATCACTGGGGGATTCAACTAGAAACTCAGCATAATCAGGATATTGCCAGTCATGCCCCTATTGGCCCACGGGAGTAATTACACAGAAAATATCAGACTATGTTTCAGATTTAGTCTGCCTCTAAAATATGAAGTGCTTCTGGTATCCTACGCCGAAGGCCGCTAAGGCTGTCGCCGCTGAGCACAGATCGTAGACCTGCTGCTGGCTGGCATTCGAGAGGACCTGGCGCGAGACGTGTGGCTTACACATGGCCAGGGTACGTGGCACAAGGCCAACCTGTTTAGGGCTAGGCATCCCCGTAGTCATCCCCTTTACTTGCCCACATCAAGAAAAGTGTGCCATATTGGCTCACCTCGCTCGAGTCCCCGTGCAACATGAAATGCAACAAGAAGCGCAACAGCGTGCCTGCTTTGGCCAAGCAAACATGTCTGGACCCCTGTGTCTGGTGATGAGAATGACAAGAAAGAACAGGCAGAAGCGGCGGCAGACATGTTAATGGAACTACTTTAACGCAAACCGAATCTAGTTCATATTGATCTTGATGCTTAATCAAACGACACTGACACTGAACACTCTTCGGGTCCAGGTTGGGTCTGAATTAGAAAGCGTGTCTTGATGTGACTAAGTAAGCCACAATTAAATGTTTACGTTCCCCTGTGACATGGAAATCCGGTGAGCAACCCTACCCCCCTGTCCTCATGGCATTTTGGTGGGAAGGGCTCCAAAGGTTTCCATGGGAACATTGGGAGGGCCCCCATGTTTTCCCGCATTGGTGGCCCCCCATGTCCTCCCCAAACTATGACGCATTGAGATTTATCAAGGTTGTTCAAACCATGTGCACTCACGCTTACCATGTGAGGCAACTTCTACAGAATTCACGCGCAGGACCGTATGATAGTTGAACACACTGACACAAGCGATCATGGCGGATCCCGAATCTCCGATGAAACAGCGGGTTTCACCCAACACATCCTCAAAACTATCTGGCGGGCAATTTCGTGCTCTTCTTTTGGGGTGTGAAACCACTTTGCTCGAGGCATTTCTTTTTGTTCTTTGTGGTTGCCTCGATTGTCCGTTTCCTGAGAACAACGACTGGAGATCAAGGGGCTTGAGCCTGGGGTACACCCTCCATACACGTTTGGCAGTCTGCGGGAGTGCTTGCAGTAGCCGACAGCAAGGCAAAAATGGTTCCTCAACCTTGCAAAGACAAGGGGAAATAGAAAGTGATCCATCATAAGCCCCGCAATCGTGGCCTTGTCCAGCTTGAAATGCCAACTCTCCTGCTGGTTGTTCACCTAGTCGCAAGCTTTTTGACAAGGCGACTTTGGATGGACCGAACGGCGTTATCCCTTGACAGTTAGCTCAAGCTCTTTCAAGCCTGAAGTCAGCCCCCAAAGGGCTTTAGACTGAGACTGACTTGAATCTATCCTGAGGATCCCAGAGATGGCGCCAAAGGGGAACGGATAGGGATAACCACGAACTTTAGGGTATGAACACAATGCTACAGCACAGCTAGATGACCAAGTATTGCTTACCCAGGCCATAGTCACCCCCCACACAACTGAACAAAGGATGGCACCCCGCCCCCCACCCATGGTCATGGTACCCCCCCCCCCCGGTGGTTGTGGGTGGGGTTGGCTAAGGGTTGGTTCGGTGTTGGCTCAGGGTTGGTTGAGGCTTTGTTACGGGTTTGCTGAGGGTTGGTTTGTTTGGAGTGAGTTTAGCTTGGGTTTGAATGCTGGGCTGGGGGCTAACCTGGCACCGGGAGCACTATGCATGTGTGTATATATATATATATATTATTGGAGGCTCCTGGATGCTCCCTTTCGAAGGAAACCTACGGGGAGCCTGCAACGTCCCTTCACATGCCCACATTGAGTTCTTCAACCCGTGCCGAATCCGAATGGGTGCCCCGGGTCAAACGAGTTGTTTGACGGGTCATGGAACAGGCAAGAAGTCCCTCTCATGGCTGTTCATTCCAACTGGCACCGTTTAAAAAGAGCATAAGGGGGAACAATGGAAAGAAGGCAAGGGATGATGGGTGATACTGAGCAAATGGCTCTGATTCGGGCACATTGGAAGAAACGCTGCTTGAGGAATTAGGAGAGTGCACCCCAACAAAGGAAGACTGCGGACCTAAAGGCTTGACCCCGACAAACATCTGCCAAGGAGCTACAACTGTGAACTGACTATTGGCCCTCATGGCTCCATGAGGGCAAACTGGGAAACCTGACGTGACTCGAGTAACTTGTACGTCCTGTTCAAAGTCTGCTCAACAAGGGTTGGAGTTAAAGCCCATTCCGCAACGTGTTGCATTTTTCGGGACCCGAATTAGCCCGACACGTGTTTGGGTCAAGGCTATTGCCATTTGCCAACCAAGCTAATTCGACCACTGCACTTTTTGCCCTTCAGGCATCGATTGGAAGCAATGATGCAGAGCAAAACTGCTGATCTTTATGGAACCCTTCTGATGGGTCATGTTTCGGCCACAAGCGGGCTGCCCCATTCTATTGCCACCACATCCTCGCCCCCAGATCACCTACTCAGGCAGTTGGACCAAAGCGGCGACCCCCCCCCAACCGCCCCTCCCCCCCAAAAAAAACAGCTGTCTTACGTCTGCCCCAAATAGGCATGGACCCAATTTCCGCCAGTCTGCAGGCAATACGACACAAATGCCAAATTCTATAAATTCATCTGATACCACACACTGGATACTACAAGAACAATCATAATAAAACCATAATGCAAGCTAGTTTGTACTAAACCATATACAATACATCTACATGTATATACTAACATATACTAGATTCTAGAATATACGACGGCCAGTTGCTCCATCTTTCAGCGCCCGTCCAAGGTGCTAATCCTGCCGACTCATCTTTGGGCAGCCGCATGTCGATGCTGTCGGCCGCCTACATGTTGCGCATTGTTGACGCCTGAAGCCCCAAAAACGCCATGTTCCGGCCTGGAAACTGGGTGCTCAACAGGGGTCTGGCAAAAAACAGATCGGGAACGTCGCCGGGTTGCAAAAAGAGCCAAGCAACAAGATCAAGAAGAAAAGGAACCTTCTCGGGCTGCGACTGGAATGCGAATTGTTACTGGGGTCGTCCGTTGCCCAAACAGTTGTGTGAAGTTGTAATGAAGCCACAAACCTATCCTAGCGTTGTATTGTCAGGGTGCCCTAAAAAGCGCGAGCACAATAAACAAAGCAAAGCAACATAAAGCGAGCCACAGCACAACAAAACAAGCAAAACCACACAATCTAGCAAACAAATCAAACAAACAAAACAACACAAGGCAAAACAACACAACAAAGCAAGCCAAAACAGACAAACACATAATCAAACAAAACAAGCAAACCAAGCAATCAAACAATCAAAGGAACAAACAAACAAAACCAACGCCACACAACAGAAACAGATAGACAGACAGACAGACAGACAGACAGACAGACAAACAGACAGACAGGCAGGCAGGCAGGCAGGCAGGCAAACAGACAGAGAGACAAAAAGCCAAACCAACAAACAAACAAACAAACAAACCAACAAACAAACACACAAACAAACAAACAAACAAGACACCAAACCAAAGCGAACCAAACCAAACCAACGAACCAACAAAGAAGCAAGCAAGGAAGCATGCAAGCAGGCTCAACCACAAGTTGCTATGATGTTGCATACCCAAGCGTGTGGCTTTGGGCACTCATCGGGCTGACCAACCTGCAGCAGTTGCAGTATCATAGCCCCGTCTCCCCTAACCCGGCTCTTCTTCGCTTCGTCCACAAAAGGCTCCAATCGGGGAAGCGGTGATCGTATCAAAATAGGAGTTAGGGAGTCTAGACAAGTTCAGCTCCTCCGATCCTGGCAGACAGCTCGGCAATGCGAAGGCCATACACCCTGTCACTCCGGAGGTATGCAATCCGTCCAGTGTTTCATCAAGCCAGCAAGCCACACCTTCAACCGATGATTTGCCGCCAGCATTAACCACGTGTGAGCCTCCACTTTGAGAACACTCCGCAGCACTTCTGTATTTCTCGCTCTGACAAGTAATCCTCAAGTATCCAAATGCACCCACCCAGACCCCTCTTCTCACTTCGGAACGTGATTGAACCAAAGGCTTTGTAAGATGTCCCTTTTGATTGTTTAAGCCGCCAAGACCAAAGATCTAATTGATGGGCATGTCTTACCATTGCCCCCGTGGACGGTTTCGAACTATATTCACCAAGAGGACAACCACATGATGCTTGATCAAATTCCGATGCTTATTATCCTGAAACTACTTAGTGACCCCCAAGAGTATTGGGGCCGGTCGTAAGCCAAAGCTTTGATCAGAACATGGGCATTCTCATGCACTCGTCGTATTCAGATATGCGTGAGCCACGGAAATGACTTGTTCTCTTTAAACATGCAACAAAAATAGCGCACCCCCTCCCAACCAGCAACAGACTACTCATAAAGTTGTCTGCAATTTG